AAGAGAACTGCAACCGCCGCATCATCCTCCATCACGACAATGCGAGTTCTCACACCGCGCACAGAACAAAAGAGTTTTTAGAGCAAGAAAACATAGAATTATTAGACCATCCGCCGTACAGCCCCGACCTAAGCCCTAATGATTTCTATACTTTCCCTAAAATAAAGAATAAATTGCGTGGACAGAGATTTTCATCACCTGAAGAAGCTGTGGGACGCCTACAAAACGGCCATTTTGGAGACCCCAACTTCCGAATGGAATGGTTGCTTCAATGATTGGTTCCATCGTATGGAAAAATGTGTCAAATTTCGCGGAGAATACTTCGAAAAGCAATAAATACATTTTTAAATAGTAATGTTGTGTCACTTCGTTAATTCCCGAAATTTTCAGTGCCGCCTATATAGTAGTACAATTTAACTAAAAACACATTTTTGTAGCTCCGTAATAAAAACTAATAAGTATTAAATACTTAGTCTGGCCATAAATACGGTTACAATTTAAAAAAAAACTATTGCAAATAACATTTACAGTGTGTTAGTTTAATACATAAATATAAAAAAAAAAGTATAAAAAGCTTATTCGAAATGGCTGCGATCGAATTCCATTGGCTGCAATACAGTCCTTTAAACGTTGAGGCCAGTTATCAATAGAAGCACGCACTCTTTCCATTGGAAAGTTTTTCACTGCCAATCGTACGGATTGTTTTAGGGACTCCAAATTATCATGGCGTTTAGAGCAAGCCGTACTCTCTAAAACTGACCATATATCATAATCCAGCGGATTAAGATCGGGACTAGACGACGGCCAGCCTTCAGCTCTGATGGAGTCCGAAACGTTCGTTTCCAACCAAGACTGCGTAGACCGAGCTTTATGACCTGGCGCCGAGTCTTGCTGGAAGGACCATTCTTGATTATTGAACATGGTGTTGTTAAGGGGCTTCACTACCTTCTCAAGAATGGTATCTTGATACACTTGTGCCGATGATTTGATACCTTTTTCACAAAAGGATGGCTCAGTCACTCCTTCATAGCTAATACCCCACCAAACCATCACTAAAGTCGGATAGTGCCCACGTTGCACTCTGTCGACTAATTGGGAAGCTTCCTTAGAGCTTTGAGCATAAATACGGTTATTTTGTTTGTTAAAATGTTGCTCAATTGTAAAAAAAATCTCATCCGTAAACAAAAAAATTCTATGACCTCCCTTTGCGTACCGCTTCAGTAGTTGTTTCGATTTTACCACCCTATTCTCTTTTAAATTATCAGTTCAGAAATGACCAGTACGTCTCATATAGGCTGCAAGTCCTAAGTCATCTTTTAAAATACGCGACATGGTTCTAAGTGCTATCTTCATCTCCCGAGATAAAATCTTTTGCTTTCGGACAGGATTTCTTCGAATTCTTTCCCTTACTGCTTTGACCACCTTTTTCGTACGAACACTACGTGGACGGCCAGATATTTTTCTGTCACAAACAGAGGAGGTCTCATTGCACCTATTATTAGCCCGGTACACAAACATTTTACTAATACCAAGCGTATGGAGAGTTTTAAAAATTGCATTTGGCTCCATACCTACTTTGTGTAATGCAATCACAGCGATTCGGTTCTCTTTATCACCCCATTCCATTTTAATATCGCAAAATATTGTACAATGTATTGGCGCCAAAATGAGAAAACTCAATGAGCAATCATATAATAATGACAGATTCCAAATTCAAAGGTAATATTTTGTTTATTTTTAATTGTAACAGTATTTATGACTAAGTATAATTAAAAATCTTCGATCAATAATAGTTAAAAATAATTTTTTTATTTAAATAAGTTATCAACAAAACAATAAGTATATATGTAGTTGTAAAATAGGATTAATTCTGTAAAAACGATTTATTCCAAGTTTAGCTAGAATATTTAAGAAAACAATTAAACAACTTTATTGTCCTGCAACCTTGTCAGTACTTAGGCAGTAAAATTAGACAGGAGAGTAGTTTTTTTTCTTTTTTTTTTCCTACGTAAGCTGGTAGACTTGAGAGGCTATTCCAGCGTAACCCTAACTAGTAGGTGAACTCACGGGGCTCAAACCTGATGACGTTGCTAACACGAACCCTAACAAGAGCCGTGCTTCGCAGAATCTACCACCGGAACGGAAACGCGACCCACTGAGAAGATCCGGCGAGAAACTCAGTGGGCTGTGTCTAAGAGTTAATTTACTCGTCGAGCCCTTCGTCGCAAGCGACGGGTTCGACGACAACGGTGACCGGTGCTTGAAGTACCAGAAGCACCGTCAGTGGATCGGGAGGAGGAGAGTAGTATTTACGCTTTCCGTCTTTGTGCACACAGACCCCAAAGTAAGCGTGTCAATCCTATTTTATATAGTTTGATTTACAATGCCAAATTCAAACAGTACGCCCATCTGAATATTTTTTCCAAAGCTCGTAAGGCAAGCCTCGGAAGAGGATGAATAATTAGTCAAATTCTATATGCGCTCCTTATTAAATCTATTTGTCTTCTGAATCCTGATTAAAATTAAAATCCATATTTTAAGTGATGTACGAACTTTTTTATAGTGATACACAAAAATCGATTTCGGTTATCGTTCAATTCGGTCATAAATCATAAATCTCCATTTATGGGCTAAAAATATTTTGAATAAGAATTCTTAAGAAGGCTTAAACATAAATTTGTGATAAGGGCAAGTGGCTGAAAAATAATTATATTAAGCTATTTCACAAACAAAAATAAAACACAAGAAAACTGTACTAAGTCATTTTTTTAATTTAAATATTAGAATCTGACGTAAAAAATAATTTTGTTTATGTCATGTGATAGGACCCAGATAAATTGAACTCCTATACTTATTATATGTACCAAAAACAGTAAAAATAATTTCTTTATTAATGCATTATATCTGTAATTTATCAGTCTTATCTTATTTCCAATGTGATGTATTAAGTAGATTTGGAGTATTTTGTAGGTATAAATTTCCAAATTGCCTGCTACGACGTCATCAATACCATTTCAATGATTTTAGTGTAAGCCAGACATTAACATATTTGTATTACTAAATGTCAAGATGTTTTGTGGTTTATATGGGTAGTCAGCCACTGGAATATCTAGTTTCAAGTGAACTTAATGCATTATCACATAAATGGTGTAGCACATCTTACGGCATCTAGGCACCGCATCATGAATATAGCTATCTTACCCTCCAAACCATTAATAATAATAAATTATTGGATTTCATATCAACAGTACAGAAAATAGTTCCCTATACATACTCCTTTTTGATTTTGATAGTAATATTTTATTTTAATTTTTAGCAACCTTTTCAAAATATTTTTTCTTCTCAGAAGGATTTGGTATAATCTGAAACAAATTATAAAAACGTCAGGATTATATCAACATAAATTATGTAAAATATGGTAGCACGTAAATTATATTAATCTTCATTCTAGTAATGTTATTAAGTTAAACAATATCAAGATAAATATAAGCATGTTTATTACTCACTGTGTCCTGACCAGGTTTCCAGCCTGCTGGGCAAACTTCACCATGATTATCAGTATATTGGAATGCTTGAACAAGTCTCAACGTTTCATCAACTGAACGTCCTACTGGCAAATCATTCATTGTTATTTGTCGTAGAATTCCTTTGTCATCAATTATAAACAATCCTCTTAAAGTATGGCCCAGATCCTCCAAATAAACCCCGTAGTCTTTTGCAATAGAATGTGTTAAGTCACTTAGTAGGGGTATGTTAATCTTTCCTAAGCCTCCCTCTTTACGTGGAGTATTTATCCAAGCTAGATGAGTGAAATGTGAATCAACAGAGCATGCTACAACTTCTGTGTTTATTTTCCTGAATTCTTCAATTCTTTCAGAGAAGGCCAAAATTTCCGTAGGGCATACGAATGTACTGTAATAAAAAAAAAGAAATAAAGTTAGTGTTATCATTGTCATTAAATTTTCTATTGGCATATTAGATATTTTAATCGAAAATTACTTCTGTACCCAGCGTTTCTGACATTTGTGGTCAAAGGTTACTAATTGTCATTTCCTATTTATTATCACCTACTTTCGACTATACATTAAATAAGGTCTTAAGTTATAAATTGCTTAAAAAATACTTATATTGAAATATATTTTTTGTATATTAAAAAATATCGATTTATCTATTTAAAATCTAAATTTATAATAAAGAATACTCACAAATCCAGGGGATAGAAGAAAAATACAAGGTACTTTCCTTTGAAACTTGATAACGAAAGTTGAGTGAACTCTCCATTAACTACAGCAGTAGCCTCCCACTCCGGTGCCGGTTTTGAAACTGTTAAAATGAGAAATTTTTGTACACAAGCTTTTTTTTTTGGTTATTTAATTCAATGAAACTCACTCATAGCTTTTGTAAATTGTAGTTTATGATCGATTTTTCGCGCTCCACCCGGAAAAACATTACCACTTCCAAACGAGTAACACGAATCACCATCAAAAAGTGAAGACGAACAAGTCATTACACTTAAAAACACAGTTATGGTGATAAACAGCATGTTTTTCATAATGTTAAATTGTAATACAGCTCTTTATTAAATACAAGACGTAGACACATTTATCAGCATCTAAAGGATAACTTTCTTGTTGGTTTAATCAAATGCCAAATGCGAACTTGCCAAGAAATAAAACAACGCGACAGAAACATTACAATTGGGTTGCAAACGTACAAAGAGTAGCCACGTCAGAGATAACAGGTATAACGGCGATAACAAGACCATTGTGGTATCACAATATGGATAACATAAAATCTAACTATTTGCTTAGTATGAAATTAATAAATTCATTTCCACCAATTTTACGACACGATACATTTACTTTAAACTACAATTTTAATAAATTTAGATGTATTTCAAAATCGATTTAAATGAATCGTTGAACGAATTAACAACCAAAAGTGTTGTTGACATATCCACAAGTTCATTCGTTTCCCGTCTCTCATGTTCGTAAATTGTAAATTTACACCACTACGAAGCGTTTCATTTCGTTCGCATTTAGCGAATTTAATTTTTTGTGTTTTGTAAATTGTAATACGAAAATGATTTAGATTTTTCTTTTTAATTTTCTTCAAACTTTTAATTAAGTTTCCGGTCCATCGCAAGTTCTTGCGGTAAGTTAGGCAAGTTTTGGATCTACTTGTTCATTATGGCGGTCACATTAGTTCGATGCTATGGTTGTAAATAATTTCGTCACAACCATAAAGATGCCTTATTTTTCGTGTCATTATTATCCCAGCGATAAGTAAAATTGTGTTTTAGATGGAAGTACCGGACGAAAATGTTCTAGAGGTAGATTTGTTAGCTGATGATGGATCAGAAGATGAAGGCGAAGCCCCGCCGTCTTCAGGTAATTTCAATTTCTTTATATCAAAAATTAAAAAGTGATGTTTTCTCCTGTAAATTTTTTCATCAATCATTATTATCAAAGTAAGATTTCCCAAAGCTAACATTATGTTCACACATTGATTTTTTCATAAATTATTTTATGAGAAAAGCTTTTTATTTCAAATTGTGCCAAATGAATTTTACTTGAAGAAAATAACCTGAATGAGAAAAAATAATAGCTCATAACTAACTTATAAAATCGTGTTACATGCATTTTATTTTATGCCCTTTCTCAGTGAAATTTTGTCAGCATTAGGTTTTATTTTCTAAATAACTCTCACTATCTAATATGAATTTCTTAAAACAAATTTCCTATTCGATATATCTACTACTAAACATCAGAACAAATTCCAAAATGTATTGTAATTGTGATGCTATTTTAGCTCCCGAGGTCTGCTATTATCTAGGCTAAAATGCATAAGCAATATGTATTTCTTTGTACTGAAAACATTTGGAAAGATACCATTCAGGTGCTGTCATAATTTGGTAAAAGTACTAAGGATCAAAGCTTATAAAACTATAAAAAACGTGCAATAAAAAGTTTGATTGTTGTTGTTGTTGTAGTCCTAAGGTACCAGTCTGGTACATAGGGCCCTCATAAGTTATGTCCCCTTCACCCTGTCTTGCACTTGCTCCTTAACATTGCTCCAGGTCAGGCCGGTTTGCTTGTATTGCATTAAAATTCTCATTTTGCGAAACAACACTAAACAGCCTACTAAGGCTTCATATCTGAATCTGTTGTCCATAATCATGAGTCAGCATCATCAACATGAACCTGCCTCACAACCTCCTTAAAATAAGTGCTACCTACTCCGCAGAGAACTGTCCTATAAATTCTAAGATGCTGGTATTTAATTTCATCTAATCTGTTAAATATTTTAAATAGCCCCCTTACTTTCTTCCTCAAGTACTTCACCAAACAAACATTCAGTTCACACATTCAGGGAACAGTAAATTTAGTTGTCTTTTTGTTTTTGAACGTCATCATAAACATCACTTGGAAATACAAAATCATTTTGTGATAATTTAACCAGATGCAAATACATTTTGCAGTGGAAATATTTAACTTACAAACAATGTGGAGAATATCTAATAATTTCATATTCATGTTTTGTCCCAAACATTATTTTATAACCTATTGAATCAAATATTTAATAATAAATATTTCATGCTTCACATTTAAAGAATTTTACACCGGACCTGGGTCGACACCAACATCATGTGCGTCATCTCCTCGAGGTGAAGAACCAGCATCTCCCCATGCAGGTCTCACGCAACCATCCTTCTTCCATCATCAAGGTTACACTCGACCGTTTTTTACCTCGGCCAGGCGAGGTCCGGGTAGACCACGGAAAGAAGGACCCAAGTTAGCTCGTGAAGGCAAGATTGTTAGAAGGTGAACGTTTAAAAATCTATTTTGTTTCTTTTGAAGTCATGTCCAAAATAATAATAATTAAACTGTATACAGATACAGAGGAAATCCAGGATCTTTAAGAGGGGCAAAAAGACATCGTGGTAGCAGGGATGATGCATCTGAAGACATGATGGACGAAGATGATTTTACAATACCACCTGTCCCCGAGGAACCTCCCTATATGCCCGAAAAATGGTAAATATGGACTATATCTAATGAACCTAATATAAGCTAACTCTATAAACTTATCTATTTTAATCAATTAAAAATATTAAATATATTTTAGGCCTGGTAAAGTTTGCTCACTTTGTAACTTGGGTGAACGCAGTCAACTAGGCCAGGGTGAAATGAGACAAATTCATTGCAATATTGGTGAAGCAGAGGGTAGTACGACACCTTTAGTTACCAATTCAGGAGGAGCCACACCAACAAGCATTGCTACTCCTACTAGTACTCCAACGACACCTGTCACACCAGGCTTAGTTTCTCCTCCACCAGAGCTAGTAGATCCCAACCAACATCCTCTTGGGCTACCGCTCAGCAGGCGCCAGAAATCTTTCAACAAGTGCAAGTAAGGTTTCATTAATCTTAAATTGACTTTTTTTTTGAAATTTTCAAATTATGCTTCAATATAATGTTTTAGAACACCACTCTACAATATGGAACACACAGATGAATTATCAATTATCGGTCACAATGACTCTCTAGAAATACAAGCAGTAGTGTCTTCTGGAGCATTGTACATTCACCGTTGTTGCCTTGAGTTCAGTCCACCATTCCAAGCAACATCATCTGAGGAAGACCTTGAGCAAGCAGAGGAGACGAGAATCAGAGGAATAGTCACTTCTGCTCTTACAAGAAAATGTGCCTTTTGTACTAGACATGGTGCAAGTATTCCTTGTAAGGTATGAAAGATAAATTCAGTGAAGTAAACATATATCAATCAAATTGTATTGCATAAATTACATGGAATGCTAAAAAATGATGTTTCTTTTATTGCAGATGAGCTGTAACAAATACTACCATCTACCATGTCTTCTAGCATCAGGTGGTTTTATGGATTTTCAAAGCAAGGGCTCATTTTGTAAAGATCATTTATATCAAGTTCCCCTTGTCTGTAAGTATATAATTTTTATCATATAAAAATAAAACAAAATTTTAAAATTACTAGCAATCCATGTCTTAATTGTACATGTGGTTTCACAGAAACATATACAGTAGTAATATTTTCTAAAAAATTATATGCAATGCATGCATGCAAAATATCTATGATCAGATTAGGGATGAAATAAGAGTTTTTATGTTGTCATGTCAATTTAAATGGACATGTAAAGACCTAGTTTAATCAAAAACAATTTGATATTGCTTAGTGAATTCATTTACAACCTGCAAGAGGTTCATAATGACAAAAAATGAAGCGTCTATGTTAATTTCTAGCTTTTAAGCCTATTATCTGAATTTTACAATAAATACAAAAATTCGTCCACAAAGTGCTGATTGTGTACTAACATTATACTTACTTATAAACTAATATATATAGTTATCTACACATGTAGTAGACTGTTTAATAAGATAAATCGTCATGAAATCTGATCAGCAAGCATCTATTTTATTTGACACTGCCATTATCCAATAATCAAATTAACTAGCCAATGAATATATATGATTCTTTCATCATCATAAATGATATGACAGCAAGCAGACCTGGGTAATTTCTTCTATGTCTGCTAATATAAATGTGACAGTTTTTTTTTATGTATTACGTATTATTATCGACTTACAGAGTTATAGGTCAAGCAACTCTTTATCCTATGGAAGTTTCTATCAAACCGAAAAAAAAGTAAGGGAATGGACAAACAAACATTCTTTTTTATTTATTAGTTAAAAAAAACCTTATTTTCCCGCCTGGGCGGCCTCATGCGTCGCCGAACGAGATATTCGACTCGACTTATTTGTTGATTAGTCCCTGCCCCAAAAGTTTTTTTTAATATAATAAAAGGCATTTCAAAGATGTACATTGAATTTAATTTGCAGGTACATCAGAAATCGACTGCAGGACTTGTAGGACTATCGGCGATATTGCGAATCTGATGACTTGCGTGGTTTGTGGAGCGCATTATCATGGAACTTGTGTCGGTCTTGCTCAGCTACCAGGTAGGTTTATCGCTTTTATTGCGTTGTAGATAGACGAGCTGACTCCACACCTGCTATTACGTGATAACTAAAGTCTATAACACGAATGCTGCTGAAGGTAGCTAGGTACCTTGAGACATAAGGTTAAAGATTAATTTGTTGTATAAGAATATAAAACTGGTCTACCATTGAACATGCGAGTATTACTAAAAGCAGCTCAGCTGTAAATATTTAAAAAAAAACTATTTAAATACTGCAATTGCATTGGGTGTCGTGTTACAGGCGTCCGGTCGGGCTGGGCGTGCCGCGGGTGCCGCGTGTGCCAGGTGTGCCGCGAGCCGGCGCCGGGCGAGGCGCGCGCCGTGTGCTGCGACCACTGCGACAAGCTCTACCACGCCGCCTGTCTACGACCTCTCATGGCCACCGTGCCCAAGTACGGCTGGAAGTGCAAGGTAACTAACATTCGGCTGCAGGCACTGCACTATCTATCTATATATATGAAAATGAATTGCTGTTCGTTAGTCTCGCTAAAACTCGAGAACGGCTGGACCGATTCGGCTAATTTTGGTCTTGAATTATTTGTGGAAGTTCAGAGAAGGTTTAAAAGGTAGATAAATATGAAAATGCTCGGAATGAAATGAACATAACAATTTTGTTTTTCATTTGATGGGGACACATCAAATGAAAAACAAAATTGTTATGTTCATTCGGACGGATTCCTTTTATTTGTTTTAAGTTTATTTTATACAAAAGTTTAGGTCTTTTATTTATCGATTTAGGCACTACGAAGTCTGCCAGCAGGGTCAGCTAGTCGGTCACAAATGAATAACTACGTGTACGTTTGAAATTGGATCCGTTTCGGCAGTGTTGCCGGGTGTGCTCCGACTGCGGGTCGCGGTCGCCGGGCGCCGGGCCGTCGTCCCGCTGGCACGCGCACTACACGGTGTGCGACTCGTGCTACCAGCAGCGCAACAAGGGCTCGTGCTGTCCGCTGTGTCGCCGAGCTTACCGCGCCGCCGCCTACCGCGACATGATACGGTGCACGCTCTGCAAGAGGTACCTTACTACCCTTCACGCTTGCTGCTATACTCCAATACTCATATTATGACTACTTCAGGCACAGTAAAAATTGCTTACTAGTAAATTTCTTTTTTTTTCAGTTCATTCTGAATTTCGAATAAACATTTATCAAAAGAATATTATACATAGTAATCGGAAAAAAATCTTTAAAGTATTGGTATTGAAATATTCATCATCATTATCAATCGTTATTCATCCAGTATTAAATGTAAAATTATTGATTTCTTTAAGATACGTCCATGGCACCTGTGATCCAGATGCGGAGCCTCAACAGTATAGGAAAAACAAAGATCAGAATCCATCTTATGAATACAGCTGTCCTATATGCAAGAGTCAACTTGCACTGACCGGATCTAAACCTGGGTGTAAGTAATAGAGTACAGAGTAATAAATATAACACTTATTTCCTGAGACCTGTTATACTTAAATGTACTTATTTCACTTTTCAAATGCTCATTTCAGTATTTATAAAATTCAAACAACTTCATTCTAATAATTTTAACAGCTTTTGAAGAAGACAGCACTGCTTCTGTGTCTCAAGATTCCTCATATGGAGATGACAACTCTAATTTACAAGACCAGGACCCACTTGCGATTGAAACAAAGGTGATGATCAATTTACTACCTATAACAGATTCAGAACTTTATATGAAAATTCGAATGGCTTATGTCTTATTTAAAGACAGGTTCATGAATGTGTATCTTGATAACATGAATTATATTTTCCATTAATTGGGTAGATTAAGATATATAGGAGCTCTGAAAATTTAGATTGTCAGTCCAGCCCATTACAAAGCACTGTTTTATTCAGTTTCAAATAAATTCTCAGGTCAGAAGTATTCAGTAAAAGGCAACATCTGGCCCTTAGTGATGTTCATTTTTTATTGTAGCCTGATGTTGGTCTTGGAAAAGGAAAACCTTTCTCAGTATCTTCAAAGGTAGCCAAAAAAAAAATTGGAGGCTACAAACTGAAAGGTGGATTCCCTGCGGGTGGCAAGTTGGGCTTCCAGAAACGCCAACGTTCTCTGTTGGACTTCGGTCGGAAAAGGGCATCTAAACCTAAAATGCGAGGAGTTTTTGGAGTACCAGGATTGGGGCTACAGAGACCCCAAGCTCCTGACAGTAAAAGCTCTGAGGATGATCCAGGTATGCATAAATACAAAAACTAGTACAAAATTTTTTTTTAATTATTTCTTTGACAAAATTGTAAATGATTAATTTTAGGAATGGAGAATAAACTAGTGCTGTGTTCAAGCAAAGACAAGTTTGTGCTCACACAAGATTTGTGCGTTATGTGTGGTGCTGTCGGTACGGACTCTGAGGGATGCCTTATTGCTTGTGCCCAGTGTGGACAGACTTATCATCCGTACTGCGTAAACATAAAGGTGATTTAAAATTAACTTACATTTTTGTAAATCAAATGATATAGGATTTACTATCATCAAAACTGTCCTGTGAATTTTTGCAACATTGCTTGCTGCTCCCATTAGTTTTCGATTTTGCCAGTTTGCCATATTTCCAGTAAAATATTCACCTCACTTTGATTCTGAAATGGTTCTAAAATATCCACGAATATTCATTTGGAAGTGTAATTGAAGAGCGCGTTATAGGTATCTCAAGTGATAGTGACGTTGGGTTGGCGGTGCTTGGACTGCACCGTGTGCGAGGGCTGCGGCAACCGCGGCGACGACATGCTGCTGCTGCTGTGCGACGACTGCGACACCACGTGGCACACGTACTGCGCGCGCCCGCCGCTGGCCGACGTGCCGCGCGGCGCCTGGCGCTGCGAGCGCTGTCGCCGCTGTCTCACGTGCGGCACGCGCGACGCGCTCTCCTGGTGCACCGACAACTACACGGGTAACTACAAACAGACACGGCCCTCTCAGTGGGTCGCCTTTCCGATCCGGTGGTAGTGTTAGTTCGTGTTAGCAAATTCGTCAGGTTTGATCCCTGTAAGCTCACCTACTAGTAAGATACGCTGAAATAGCCTCTCAAGGCCATTATCAGCTAAAGTAGGAAAAAAAAGGATAACTATCAGCGACGGGCTGTATTCATTTGCAAGAGAAATAAAATAAGATTGGTAGATTAATACTACAAACATAATAATATGGTAGAAAGATACAGCTTTGGCTTAAACTTCTTGTTTTATAAAATATATCTAATATATAAAATTCTCGTGTCACAGTTTTCGTTGCCATACTCCTCCGAAACGGCTTAACGGATTTTGATGAAATTTTTTGTTTTTATCCGGTATCTATGAGAATCGGCCAACATCTATTTTTCATCCCCCTAAATGTTAGGGGTAGTCCACCCCTAAATTTTTATTTTTATTTTTTAGACAAAATTTTTAATTTCTATTTTTTTATGATACAGCATACAAAAATACATACAATCCTCAATTTTCACCCTTCTACGATCAACCCTTATTTTTTATTTGCTAATTAAAAACTTTAATTTTTTTGGCAAGATTTTCATTTTTATTTTGTCATGAATTAAAATAAAAAATCTGATGTTACTCTCAAATTTTCATCCCTCTATGATCAACCCCTATTTTTTATTTGTTAATTATAAACTTTAATTTTTTTGGCAAGATTTTCATTTTGTTTTGTCATGACTTAAAATAAAAAAAAATCTTATTACTCTCAATTTTCACTCTTATACAATCAACCCCTATTTTTCCATCCCGATTAATATTTTTTTTATTCTATGCACATATCCGCAATAAGGTTGCAAGATGGCAATCAAATATTATAATTTTAGTACGATAAATTCTTATTCAGAGTTTATAATTTCAAGTTCCTTTAGTTATGTTTTTTTTTAAATTGAATTTGATCTCCCGCCCTCGCCGGTCGACTACTGATCAACTATCAATCGATCAGCTATCCCCGCCAGGTGTCACCACTCATCCAGCAAACATCACGTAGTAGGGATGAGGACGAAGCCGGTCTCCTGTCTTACTTACTCACTATACATCATAGATTATACACTTAATATATTTGAGAGCTATACAATACTATACATTTTTCAGCCATGTCTTTTTGGTTTTATTTGTGTATCAATAGTATGTTCAGTAGGTCTGAGAATCGGCTACTATCTATTTTTCATACCCCTAAGTGAAAAGGGTTGTCCACCCCCAACATTTATTTTTTATTTTAATTTTTTGGATATTTTTTTTTTGTTTATAATGAGGTATTATGTGGTTGAATGGGGTTTTTTTTTTCTACAGTAGAATTTCCCTAGAAATCTTATTTAAGGCAACACAACGTTTGCCGGGTCAGCTAGTGTGTTTATATATTTTGTAATGCACCATTATTCTGTTTCCAGAATGTGCACCGTGCGCTTCCCTAGTGATGTGCTGTGTGTGTTCCGAACCTTATTCAGATGGAGAACTAATCATTCAGTGCGAAGCTTGTACTCGGTGGCTTCATGCTTCTTGTGATTCAATCCGCAGTGAGAATGATGCCGAAATATGCTGTCGAGCTGGGTGAGCTTCTTCTTCTTGTATGATAAAGTGTATTGGGGTAATTGACATGTAATTAAATAGGATTATGAGAATGACGATTAGATAAGATCAAAGAAGTGAACAAGCGATTGATGGGGCTGCAGGTACAAGTGCGTGGGATGCCGCGGCGCGGAGACGGCGCCGCCGCACGTGGCGCGCGTGGCGTGCGTGCCCAGCGCCGCCCGCAGCGCGCCGCGCCCCACGCCGCAGTCGCTGGGCTTGGCGGGCGAGTACTACGTGGACGACGTGTGTCTGTCGCAGCGCGGCGCGCACCACATGAAGCAGCTGGAGGCCGACCTCGGCATCACGCATACCAGGCGAAAGAGGCGTTTCAAAAATGAGAACCCCGACAAAGATGCCGGTACTTATCTCCTTAGTCATCTTCTTATTAATATCAACATTCCATTCACGCTAGTTTAATACTTTTCCATTTTTCATTCAACACTAAATACTACATTGATGCTGCTCTCGGTTGTAATTGATGACTAAGATTTACTGAATTCAATCTTATGTAAGTTATAAAAAGATGAATTATTTCGATTCTGTTTTGAATTTCGATCGCTATTCTGACGCTTCATTCCCGTTCGTAATTTTTACATTTCATCAATCCTTCAACTAAGAATCCAGAATATACGAAAGCAGTATCTAATCTGAGTTTTTGTGTGTGGGACGCTGGCATTTTGGAATAGAAATAATGGCATCTATTGAAACAGTGGTTCAGAACGCTGACGTCGAGATGGCCGACGACTCCAAGCCTGACAGCACAGCCGAAGTCAAAGATGAACCAGGTGCGTTTAATGTTATCATATTTATTTCATCAACAAGTATTATATATTTTATTTTGTTGAGATAAATCAGTCAACATTGCAGTTTAATAGAATTATAAATATATTCTGATAAATTCCCAAATTTTGTTATTTATTTTCTTGAGATTTAATTATGTTTCTAATACTCTTTCCAGGTCTTCCTCCTAACGCAAACTTTAAAGAAGGAACTCTGTGGAACATTTTAACCGACGGTCCCCCTCCTGAGGGGTTCACTGTATATACAACAGATTCAGGACTGACCGTACTCCGAAGGAAACGACAAAGAAACCTCAATAAACTAGGTATTGGAGGTTTCGTGGTTAGACAAAGACAGACTACAATCAAAGCTCAGGCAGATGAAGACAAAGATGGTGACGGCACACAGGCTTCTGGAGGTAAAACACTGATGGCATTTTGTTTTTATCTCTATAATATATAGGAAGAAAGTACTGAAATGGTTATAGTCTTTTATAAAAGAAGTTGAATCAGTTATATATTATAGAATATAGGCCCTTACAGTACAATATCCTGATTCATCTATGCAGGATGAATCTATGAATGATCAATTTAGTGTAGTTAAAATGCCAGTACATCCTCTTTTTATTTAGAATCCCCAAGCAACAAGCGCAAACCTCGTAGAAAGCCACGGTCAAAACTGATGGAACAATTTCCACCTTACATGCAAGAAGCTTTTTTTGGAAAGGAACTCCTCGATCCCCAAGTCAAATCTGCTGTTAGTTCCACTGGTGAGTTTCGTTTCATTTAGTATTATATCATACACAAATTAAGTATATAAGAAAAGGATCAATGGAGTAGGCATGCCTCTAGAAGTTGCCTCTTTGCCTCTGGAATTGCGTGCTTTTAATATATAGTTACCCTTGAAACTTCACTTATTTCAGGTAACCCTTCAGAGAGTCCAGCTGGTACTCTGAGACCAAATACCCCAGAAGGATACCGTGAACTGCGAGACTTTAAATTTGACTTTGAGAATTCTGACAGTGAAGGCGAAGATGTCCTGGCTGCTTTGACTTCTTTCAATGATCATGATAACACTGTTATCATCACCCTTAATAACGTGAGTTTTGGTGTTGTCTGTTTTTGTTGTTTTTGTCTTGTCATATCTACAAATTATTATATAATCTCTTAGTGGCGTCATCTATGTTGTGGTGTTGATGAGCTTCGTTCGTCTAAGCGATATAAAATAGCAAAAAGATAATAAAAAGAATAATTCATATTTAGAAGCTTAAAATTTATCTACAAAAGAAATCTTTCAAATGGTATGTTACATAAAAAACAAAATCACAATTTCAATTTTTAATACAGGAAGAACTAGAGTTAATGCAATCACTAAAACCGAAACAAGAAAAAGAAGATCCATGCAACACTAATTCTGACGGTGTGAAAATAAAGACAGAGTCAGATGATGGTCAAGTGAAACAAACTGAGGATTCTACTGCCCTCAAGAATGCCTTGTTGGGCCCCCAGACCAACGAAGGAGAATCGACAGTGGGTGCGGCTGAAAGCGGATCCGCCACCCATAGCACGAAAACTGAGAACCTTAGCAGCGGTAAGATCGCTTAAAAATGTCCTAACCCTTAAAAACAAACCTTTAGAAACACTATCGAAATTACTTTTTTAGAGGTACTAAAAATGTATATGTTGAAGAGGAGAAAAAATAGGTGCTTTCAGTTGGCGATGACGTAAATTGATAGGGGACCCCCTTTATCTATTTGACAATAAAAATGTCTTTGATTTTAGATACTAAAGTTTCAAATTAATAAAGTAAAAATTACTTTTGAGTAAATTAAATTAAAAATTGAAGTCACCCATTTAGGATATAGGCAGTATGCTTAAATAATATATTGTATTTTTTATTTTATTTTATTGCCCTTGTAGGCAGACGAGCCCACCTGATGGTGAGTGGTTACCGTCGCCCATGGACTTCAACAATGCCAGGGGCAGAGCCAAGCCGCTGCCTACCGAAAGTATACAATAAGATTGTTTCAATGTGCCACAATAACACAATCGGGTATACAAAAATGCATGCCTTGTATAATACGGGCAAACGCGCAAATATAACATCTTTATAGTTGGTACTTTAGCTTAAATAATAAGACAAAACGAGATTAATTAACTATTTAACAATCCAGAGACAACATCATCTCAAGCGTCGACAATATCTCCGAAAGATGACCTGTCGCTGCTGGGCGTGAACTTGGACGCCATGGTGCGCGACACGCTTCCCGACATGGACAGCAACGATGTCGACGAGATATTCAAGGGCGTCCTTACTGATGACTCTCAGGTACAGGAAACTGACATGCTCGTTCTTATCTACTGTACAGGTTAAGAGTATAATAGGTATAGGTATAGGTATAGTATATCCCAGGTAGAAAAAATAAGATTGATTTGTGTAAGTTGTAAGTAACAATATTATGCTAGTTTCCCATTTCTCAATATCCATTCCTTGTTCATCTCTTCAGTATTTTCTGATATAACAAAGTTAAATTATAAGAGATAAATATTACATTATTGGTCTGTAAACAGGAATCACAGGAATCATCAGTATCCTATGTGAATGCAATGACTCCATACTCTCAGAGACAGCAGCTGCAGAGTCCCATGGAGTACTCGTCACCCTACCATTCGGAGTTTGGGAACAGGTAAGTTCTACAAGTTGACTCGTTATGAAATAACCGTTCCTTAAGCGAATGTCGTAATATTTAAACTAAACAAGAAGTGCATTATTTTTCAGTGTTTTGGTTTTTTTTTCGTAGCTTAACGATTCGAGCTTTGTTAAGAATATTTGTGATTATAAAAAACAAGAAAATTATTTGAAAAACTGTTAAACCAGACTTTACCTGATTAAAATTACCAGATTAGAACTGATTCTTCAATTTTCATACATCACCAGCAGTGTAATTATTGAAATGTATACTTATACATAATGTTAAATATTCATCATGGATTGGATTTCTCCCAATAAATTTCGTTTATAATTGTCGAATAAAGTATTCGCTCCATCACAAGTAATACGAATTTAATGTTGTTGCAGCAGTGGGGGCGCGCTGAGTCCGCTGGTGAGCGAGTCCACGTGGAGCGAGTCCGCGCCCGCCCCCGCGCCCTCCTACAACCAGCGCAGCGCCGACAAGATGCGCGCCGACGAGAGTCAGTATCGCCACTCTAATAACTAGCGGCCGACTCCATAGATCTGTACTTAGTTGTAACTGCTTTATTGGCGGTGTGCATAGTTACGGCGCATTGTTCACATTAAATAGAAAAATTAATATTAATGTAGAGGAGACCTGAACTTGATTAGTTAACTGTGTAGTCTGAAGCGTCTATAGTAGCATAGCATTTATTGTAATGTAAATGAAACTTGCAGAAATTTTACAAATTTACATAATTAGTAGTGGTACGGCATATTGTAAACGGTAGCAGATACCCCGGCCTTTTCTATTTCTATCGACATTACAATACACATCCAAGCTGGATTTGGTACCTCTTAGTAGATGGCAACATTTCCGTTTTAGACCTACACTCAGTATAGATGAAAAATCTTTAATTAATGCGTTTGATTGATGCGTTTCGATCATTGCAATAAAAAACTACTCTACCGATTCCATCCAGGCTTAGGTTCTGCGGCTACGATATCCGCCGTGCTGTACGCGAATACAAACCACCCCGAATGGAAAACCGAGTTTCCCAACTGGGTCGACCGGTGCAAGCAGATCCTGAAGAAGTGGCGCGCCTTGCCCTCGGAGCACAAGGCGCCCTACTTGCAAAGGGCTAGGGACAACCGGAGCGCCATTCGCATGAAGAAAGCCCAGCAGGTATGTGTGTCTGTGTGCTCCGTCGATGTGCAGCGTGCTAACCCAACTCACTCACCACTGTGTTTACATCGTGTGCAGTTCACTATACACCTTGAGGACGAGATCACTAATATCTGCTAGAGGTAGAAAATGGAGACGAAATATCAGATTCTGTCCCTTTCGATGTTCTTTAATGATTTCCTGATTCATTTCATTCATTCATGTTGTTTGAAATGTACTTCAATCTCAAAATATAGGTAATGCAATATCCCACCTACGTGTATGAAATTAGATGTTTAACTGATATTTGGTCGCTTTATAGCGATAGTTTAGAAGGTCTATTTGTGTTTAGTTTAGGTCACAAATAACTATGGAGCTATAGAGATTATGCTTGACAAAAATCGCAAGATTGAATATTTCGATTGGGAAGTCCATTGAGAGAGGGACAAACAACATCTCGGCCATAGCTGCCGTTTGCTTGAAATCACTGCTGTAGATTCTATCGCTTGATTCAGTGTTAAATATGTAAATATTCGCGCACAGAGCATCGCGATCGCAAATGGATAAAACGGATTTCGCTTTATTAGCATCATAAAATTGAATGCCAAAGCAACGTGACGTCAGACGTAGAGTGTGCCGACTGCACGTGGAAGCGAGAGGATCTACGGTAGGGTTCCGGACGTCCCAGGAGACGTTCGTTGGCGTCCCGATGCAGAATAACAGTAGTGAGTGGCGCGCGACAGAACTCGAGCGGCTCCACCGGCGACCGCAGCCCGCCCGCCCCGCGCGCCGCCAGCCCCGCGCCCCCCGCCGCCGCCCCCGCCGCGCCCGCGCTCCTCCTGGCGTCGGTCGGCAGTCCGGTGCGCGCGCCCAACGTCACGGTCACGGCGGCCGGGCTCCTGGAGGCCGACGCGCACATCCGCGTGCTCACCCCCTCCGAGATCATGCGCACGCTGCCGCGCCTCGCGCAACACACGGTACCGCGACACGCGCGCCCTCGCACACGCACCGCCCGACCACCACGCCACCACACCACCACACCACACCGCTACCGCATAGTGACTACTGATCTAGTGTGGAACGTAGCTTACAAATATTACATTTTTTGGAAAAAAAAAAAACAACGAAGTTATAGGAACATAATGTGTAATATTTTCATCTGTTTGCTACCTTTCAGTACGGTTAACTATTTCAATTTTCGAATATAAACTATTTCAATTTTCGAATATAATTTTTCCGCTACAACATTATAAATATAAGCGCTTACTACAGAAATAACTTAGTCGCGTCGCTTCGAGATGTGGTTGATAAGACGCATTGTGTACCACTCGACGCCAAGACTAGTTCCACACCCCACTACCAACACAGTACACGTCAAACAATTACCCGCTACAAATTTGCAATGCTTGTAGTGATCGCTAAACCGTAAAGTCAATCAAAACACACATTGTAATTATTGAAGAACAACACATACCTGGCCCGAGGGTGCGTATGCGAGTATCGTTCCGATATTGTTGGGTGATCGCACGAACTCGCTACCGCGGTCCTTCGCGATACCTCAATTAAATTCAAAATTTGTAATCACTCAACAAGACTTTTGGCTGCTCGATGGCGTTGTGAGCTGTGTGATTATTTTGTTATACTTTTCTTTAAGCTTTTTATGCGAGGACGATGACCTTCCCGTTGTATCCCGATATGCCTCCCGGAACCGCGTCCTCTGTCGTCCGTAATGTTTATTTTATTTTATTTCCGCTTCGCCTTGGTAGTGTTGGCTTTAACATGGAGCAATCGGTGGCTGGATGTGGCGTGCTAACAACTAACATATCGTAGTTTCTGGTTCTCGATTGATTTGCGAAATTAGCCTTTATTGTACTTACTGTAAGCTTTGTGATTTTAAGAATTGGTATTGTTTTAAATTCGGGAAAATCAAATCTGTATTGATTCAAATTTAGCAAACTCAGATTAGATTTCACCGGATTGATACGATAGTATTTGGTAATAAGTGTTGTACAAATTTTGGTTTTATAATCTTGATATATAAATCTAGAGTAATTGTGTATTTTAGTACCTACCATTCTTCAAGTTGTTACTTAATGTTGTGTACATGTTATTAATTTTCATATTTAACTTAAGAGTAATGGTAATACATATGACTGTCGTTTAATTACTAAAAAGAAAATTATTGTAATTTTAATAACTTCGATAATATATTCTTAAATTACTTAGTATCTTATACTATAACAGACCGCATGAATTACACTTAAAAGAAATAACAAAATCATATTTTAATACATTATAATCTAAATAATATCATATATTACACACTTGAATAATTTATTCTTGTGTACTTTGTATTTGGTGAAAAGCTTGTAACTTGTTACATTGAACGAAAAAATAAAACTAAATAATTTTGTAACAATGATTTCTGAATCTGTGGAAGTGTCCTAATAATAAATAGTATATCTTAATTTCACTTAGATAACTAGGAACTGTTCTATAAAATCGAACGATGGTAGTGATGTTAATTTCTGACAGTCGAAATAGAAGAGAGAAAACAAAAAATATGTATTTAAAAAGTTTCTTAAATAGATTAACCGTATAAAACTTCTAATATGAGACCCCGTGAATGATCATCAGGCCACAGTTCGCATTACTAAACACTTCCGTTTGGATCAGTCTGGCCTCGGGACCAGTGCTGTCTGTACATTTATAATGTTAAGCAGACTAATGTAAATTGTCTACAATAGTATGATTATAGTTATAATCTGCCTGGGTAGAAAACGCATGTCAGAACTAATGTCATCTTCAGCTATACTTGATATCGTCATTGCATTATTTAACGCGATTCTAATATTTTTTCAAATTGAATAAATCTAACGAAACACGATTTTTAATAAGGACGACGTCAAGTTAAGTGTTCAGTTCCAACACTGATTCAAGCGTAAAACGATTTTGCTGAAAGAAAAATGTTCGACGCTTGAAAGGCAAACGTGACTAAGCGACAATAACTGCTTTATGTATAAATGATAGGCAATAACTATATTCGATGCGCAAAAAATATGTACTTCTATGTCTATTAAAATCATTTCAATCCTACAGCTAGATTCGTTAAAATAGATTTTTTTCAGGTATTCGCTTAGTCACGTTTGCCTTTCAAGCGTCGAATTGTGGAAAATTGTCATTTTAAATTTTAAAACTTGAGTCAGTTTAGGTTCTGTACATTCTATTTGTTTTCGCATGAATAATATGTTTGTTTATATGGTGTAGGAACAGGAACGGGCTTGTGGACAGCAGCGTAGTGCTCGAGAGGCCGAGCAGGAGAGGGCGTGGAAGAACTTGCAGCAACAACGCCAGCAGCAGACCCAGCAGCAACAACAGATCATACACGATCAACGGATGCAAGGTACAGACTTGGCGACACTGCCTAAGGGATTTTGATTATTTATTATTTGAAGACCTGAGTGGATGAAGGGGATATGATACAATTTGTTAATTTTACCAATTTGTTAAAGAAAACGGGCAATAACCTTTTGTTACTTGTACTTTGGTCTTCGTACATAATTCCTTCATCTTAATGTCTAATATGGTTTATAAGCACATAACATCTCTGTTCAATGTAAAAAACTCGAAAATCTTAAAAATGGTACTTAACCCCTTCATCCACTCATGTCTTCATTTATATCATAAATGTAAAGCTACATTCTATTGACTATTGAATGGCTACTAACTTTGAATACATATTCAGTTTCTAACTGCATGAATGGGGGTTCAAATGAAAGGCTTCAACAAAAGATCAATAACCTACTACTAGCTTACTTTATATTTTATTATAATTCATATACAACTGGAGATATGCAATATTTTCAAATATACAATTTAATAGGGCTTATAGATTTTATTACACAGAGAAACAGAAGTCATTGTCATAATTAAGGCAATAAAGTGCACTATAAATGAAATCGTTTTATCGTTTTGACAATGTATCATTTCGATTGACACACCAAGAACACGTACGTAACGAAGTCCGGTATGGTACGGCAGCAGCCATGCAGAGACTCCGTGCCGGGGACGGGACGGCGCCGCCTCCCTCGCCGGCCCCCTCCCCCGCCCCCGCCCCCACCCCGGCCCCCCAGACGCCCAGTCCCGCGCCCCCGGACGCCCCCCGCGCCGCCTTCACCGCGCAACGCTTCCCGCTGCACTACGGGAACAACGAGGACATCAACCGCCAGCTGCGCGACCTGCTGCAACGACACCCAGACAAGATGTGGCCCCCGCGTACGTACCGTGTACCCAACATTACCTTGATCTTTATTTCTAAACTTTATCTTATGGACTCGTGAGTAAATAATTAATCCAAACTTTACGTTTTAATGATAAACGGGTAGTCGCTTTCACGACCCAGTGATGTTAATCAGTTACTGGAACTCATTGACACGATTGTGAATATCGCCGTTAGCCGCGACACGAGATCTAAGTTTCCCTGGCACAGCAGTTGTTATATTCTAGCCTTTTAAACAAAAATACATAATTAGTTGGTAGAAATAAATAAGATGGCAGAATCAACCCGAACAGGCTTGCCACATGTACTTAAGGTCGGAAATAATAGAGAACTCTATGACTCACGCACACCTTTAGTTTAACAGAAATACTTATTAAATAAGACTCTGGCTATATTATGATTGTCCATCATTCACTTTTTATTTAAAAATTATGCTACTAATTTTTATATAAAGGTATGACAGAAGAAGGTGGTGCAAATACAGTACAGAGTCAAGAGGGCCAGCCCTTCCGACCTCCGCTACCCGTTGCGTTGCGCACGCGGACCCTGGGACTCCCACAACACAGACCAGAACAACGTTAGTGCTATTCAAATTCTCATGACTAGCAAAATGGCTAATTTTCTATACTAGTGGTCCCGTGAATTATGGTTCTATTGTCAATAACTATTATACTTCTATAACTAAAGATTTCGCCAAGGCTATGCTATAGACAAGTAATATTAAAGATAAACAATATTAACCTATTCTCAATTTGACCACAAACTTCAAGCAATAACAAAAGTTTGACAATAAACAAAGAGTATATATATTATTATGTATGTGTCAAATACATGGTAGTGTGTGTAATGTTTTTATTATGTGTAATTTAAATAAAATACTAACATTCTGCACTCCTCTATATTCTATAAATTTTGGGAAATCTCATATCCCCCCGTCCGCGGAATTTTCGTAAAAGGTGTACAATTTTTTGCATCACGTATTAATGTATAGATATTATGTGCTTTTGTGTTTAAAAAAATTAGTTCGATTTGAAAATCTCGCAATTGGGTTACGCTGTCGTTGATCACTATACGCAGTTTACATGACCTATATGAAACGGTTAAAATTAAATAATTGCCTTTTTATATACATGAAGTATTTTATGTTTCTTGCCAATAAAGCCTTTTTATATAATAAAACGAGAATTTAATCCAAGAGCTGAACTGAACTGGAACTGTTAATAAATGTAAAAGAAATTTAACACTAACGTTTCAGTGATCATGCAGCAACGCATTATAACTACAGAAAATGTCCAAATGCAACAGAATGCTGGAAACTCTACAATGCAACAAGTCATTGAACAAAAACAAAGTGTCATCGCCCAGTCCCATGGCAAGTATACTGTAAAACTATTTCTTTTTTTTTTTAAATACGTATATTGTTAAAAGTTTCCATGTCTATAATAAAATCTCATACTCTCCATGTTGAGTAGATGGTATTTGCTACACTACTACTAATTTTCATGAACAAACATGAAATGTGAAGCAGAAAAAAATATATAATCATGTTTAACTATTATTGTAGATCCTCTCCACAATCGTTCTTCAAGTTGACTAAAGACATTATCAACTTGATTTTAGGGTGGAGTACATTATGAGGTAGAATGCAACACAAACTAATCTACGAATCTAAATGTCGTATGATTTGAAACTTGAATTACCAACAAATCGAATGCTTACTATGATGTTACATTGTAGCATTGAATAAAGCAGAAAATAATATTGTACATCTCTCATAGCTGGTGCTGAGTCTAAGCAGGAGCACGGTAACCAGGAACATGGCACTGACGAAATGGACATGGCCGACATGGACAAGTTGGAACAAGATCCTGGAAATATTGGAGAGGTATATTAGCATTTAATAACGAAACCCTACTTGATGAGTGCGTGCACCAAGCCGCAGTTCGCAAACTATGGAAAACATCTATCAAGGCTTTTTTAATAAACAAGAATTCCACATGCCACGTCTGCTCTGCCAAAAGCAACCGACTACGACGATGATGATATTAGCACTTTATTATGAAATTATTTCAGAAGAAAATTACCAAGATATTTCTCAATGGAGTTTTTAGTTAATATGTTTCTAAAATTATTTTTTGGGAGAAATTGTTTATGGATTGATAGAAAATTTTAATGTATAGTTAATGTTTTTTGTCTTAACTATTTATGGTCATTTTGTAGATAGTTTTATAGGTAGTTTGAATTTTAGTAACAATTTTATTCGATTATATCCGTTGAATGCAGGTGGGCGACATCTTGACCGGGCTCGGCAGCGAGGACGACGACAAGCTGCTGGAGTCGCTTACGTCAGAGATCGGGGAGCAGTTCAACATCCTCGAGTACGCGGACCCCGAGCTCGCCGCGCTGGACGACGCCGAGCACATCCTCGACCGCCTCGAGCGGGCCGATGACGTCACCGACAGACTCGCCAAGCGGGATCGCACGTTAGTCACCCCCCTTAACTGCTTTATAATATTTTAAACAGGATATTGGACAAAACTCTCAAATGAAGACGAATTGTACAACTAATGATTTACTACACAAAGTTACGTAATAGTAATAGCATCGTAAGACATAGCCATACGTAAGACATCGTTAAACATTTGGCACTGTAGAGTGTTTGCGGATTCTAAAGAAAATATATGATACAGCTAAAACCACATTATTGGGGTACTATCGAACACTATTTCCGTACACACTGCACTTTATAAACTTTATGATAATAATTCTAAAAATTATTATTACCTAAAAGTCTGTAGAAATTTAAGTTGAAGTCAGTCGACTATTGTGGCAAATAGTAACAAACAAATAGTAATTTTTTCATAATAAAATAATAATTTTGTTTTAGCGAGGAACACGAACATCCATCGGAAACAAAACACTTAATAATTCAGAAAACTGGAAAGATCATAGACGGTAACATTACGGAAGTGAAATCAGAAACAACAGAAATTAAAACTGAAAACCAAGATGTTAAACTAGAGGGAGCCCCGCCCGGAATGGCACACATGTACGCTGAGGGAATACAGAGGGTCATCACACAGAACCATCAAATGACTATACAAGTGAGTGCATTTTTTTTTGTAGCATATGATTAAATGAATGATGATGAATGAATAATTTATGCCACACTTGAGCTACAATATTGAAGTCGATGGTATGGGAAATTGTGATTTAAAAATAATCATTAGCAACTTGATTCTGCTCTTTTCACAGTATCAGATGATAAGTAAGCTCATGTACCCCGACCACAACAAGAAACAGTGGTTACCCCCCACCCTTCTATCCCAAATAGTAATGCGATCGCTTTGCGAGAGAAGTTGAAGGGCGATGGTTCAAATTACAGCTCATTTATGAATAATTTGTTTGTCAGTCTGCCATGCAAGCAATCAAGTCTGAAGTGAAGCTGGAGAGTGATGACAAAACACAGCACCCCCCATTCCAGCCCATGTTCGCTAACGCACAGCAACGTTTACAAATACATCAGCAGGTTTGTTTTTTAAACTTTTAATGACCTTTAAATTATTTTACAGTATTTTCATATTTACAAAACAGTGGTATTTATTGCGTTTCTTTTACATACATTATATATATATAAATTACGATTATGATATGAATAATAATCACTTGACCAGATAATGTTTTCTGAAGAACAGAAGTTTTTTTTTTTTTTTAAATGTCAATGTTGGTTTTTTGAATATTAATGGTCGATTTCCATCATCCTGCTTATTTCTGCCGTAAAGTATTTAAGTATTCCGGTTTGAAGGATGGAACTGTTGGTACAGTACCCGGCGATAAATATTGCACATCGACCGTGGGAAAAAGACGGTTAATTTTTGCTTTGTAGAGCGTTATATCTGTCGCACATTACCTAATTGAGATTTAGTCTCCATAGATACAGGATCGTTGGTGTTTCGTCGCACACAGGTAACGCTCTACAACAAAAAACTAAAATTAGACGACTGTCTCTTTCTAAATATCGATGTGCAATATTTATTGCCTGGTACTGTATAATATAATACAATTGAGACTTCGACACCCCGTATCTGAAGGTGAGGAGCGGCATTCACGTGACGTGACCGTGACATGAGGTCGTGCACCAATCTAAACAAAAAAGCGGTAGGATCTACCGATAATAAAAATAAAAACAATATTAATGATGTAACGCATCGTGCAGGGTACACAACTGGTGCCCGTACTACAACGAGCGCAGCCGCAGTACGCGTCCGCACACCAACTGCACTTCACACAAGTATGTATAGTTATAATCTTTGTACTAAAGATTTTCGCTTATCCGTTAAGCTATTGCTACTGAGCTGGGGCTCAGGATACATAAAAACTCACCGAAATATTAATTAATACTCGATTTATTTTTTACGACAATTAAGGTAGACTTCACTATCACAATTAATTTCTTCGATTCGCTTCAGAAAATCCGATCGTCGTTTTGCTTCGAATAAAACTGCTTTCATGTGCATAGGCACACATGCATCACGCTTTAATACTTAAAAAAAAAAAGCAATCTTCAACAACATTGTTCTAGGCTCGTTTTGTCTATGTCAAAAACATCTAGTCAAGAGCATTAGAACACTCGATGGGACTAGAATGTTCGAGAATGTTCTGGAACATATCAGAGATTTTCTGGTTGCTTCGACATCCGTTTTTGCTCCCTGACGACAGATAGTGTTATTCGTACCAGCATAATATAAACAACTTTTTTAAAAGCATATAAATAAACAGATATGATTTATAAAAAATATTATCTGAACATTTTACACACAATGAAGGAGCAACATTTTATAAAATCAAATTTACATATTATTTATGTTGGGTTCACTACTGACAGTGGTAGACTCTTCTGAACCCATATCTCCTAGCTGAGCCTAAGGTCGCTCACCCGTCCTGGCAAAGGTTGAAAAGCTACTAGAAATTAGTTAAACAAAAAAAAAGCTTGAAGATTGCATTGAAAACCCAACCTATTATTGAAGGTGGCGGCGGCATACGATCTTCTAATGAGATATTTGCCCAGTGCTATTAGTAAAGTATCATCGAGATACTCTACTAGACCTTTAGCGATAGTCGCAGCTTACTGAACTCAAGTTTCGCTAGTAAATCGTATATATTATGTAGGGCAAAAAAAACAGTATATCGCACAGAGTAAAAACATTTTCGTATAAACTTTTATATGAAGGTAAATTTTTAAGAACTATATCAAATGGATGCTATAGATAAATATTAAAGTTATAAACACAACAGTTTTTTTTTATACGGTAGATAGGGCTGTGAACTATACGAAAAGGTCGAAAAGTAAAAATCTCAAAAGTACACATAGCAAATTTTGGTTTGACAACGACGTTATGGGAATTGCGTGTGGGTGCAGAACCGTGTGCAAGGCGCGGTGCAGAGCGGCGTGAACACCGCCAGCATCGTGAGCGCCATGACGGCGCAGGTGAAGGCCGCGCTCGCCACCGGCCGCTGCATCGCCGCCGGCACGCAGCTCGTGGGGGCCGACGGCGCCGTGGGGGTCGTCCGCGAGGACCGCTCCGTGGCGCTCAAACACCTGCCCTACGCAGGTTCGTACTCTCGACCTTCTCTACCTATACCTCTACCTACAAATAACAAACGAAGTTAAGTGGGATTAATTTCCGAGCGCTATGACATGTCCCTCTTCAAACGAGGCTTGCGGAGAGTACTTAATGGTAGGCAGCGGCTTGGCTCTGCCCCTGGAATTGCTGACGTCCATGAGCTACGGTGATCACTTACCATCAGGTGGGCCGCATGCTCGTCTGCCTACAAAGGCAATAAAAAAGAATTTAGATTTTATGTTTTATTATTATTATTATTATTGCTTTTGTTTTATTCCGAGATTGTAGTTATTGTTTTTATACTATATGAAATGTTATTGAATGTAATATGGATGCCAAAACTGAAGTAAATGAAAAATAATAATAATAATAATTATGTATATTTCTCACAATGCAATCATTACATTCATGGTCCTATTTCGCTTATGAGTGAATAATAATTTAATTCGATTGTAACGCTTGCGCCATGCTGTGTATCTTTGCTTAGAAATTCCCTGATAAACTCTAAATGATAATCTCGGACGTAATATCCATACTTGTTTTGAATGAAAGTAGCGTGCACAACGTAATCTATGTATCCATCTATCCATGTGTGGACTTTACAGAATACCGACGCAATAATATAATATGTAGTAGCAATAATATGAATTGATTACACAGCGACCGTGGGGGCAGGCAACGCGCGGGCCCCCCCGCCCCCGCCCTACCCCGGCACGGCGCGGCCCCCGCAGCCGCCGCCCCCGCCCTACCCGCAGGTACGCACACCACACTCGCTACCCCCTACCCACACGACCTGCTCGTGCAGCACGCATCGACAAACGTCTTTGAAGTTTACACTGTCGACGCCTATACAGGGATAAACGTGATATTCATTAAAACGATTGCTAAAATCTGCTGTCATTTATCTTTCACTTTAACATTCTAAAATTAGTTGCAACCCATTAATAAATTAATAATTATACACTCTACATATTATGTAACATGTCTATTAAACATAATAATATAATTGTAATTATATTCATTTAAAATTTCATTATCTTCAAAGACGTTAAAACAAAATCGACATAAAGTAAAACATACAAACCCCGTTGCTGTTTTTTTTTTCTCTAATTTATTAATAGTCAATATGAATCACGTAAGAGTACCGATTATATTAACGGTATAAAATTATTTAATATTGTCGTGCATGAAGTATTTTTTGATTTCCGTGTCCTACTTTGAGTTTTATTCGACGAACCATCGAATAGAATTCAGCAGCTTTAAGTGTATGCCAGACGCTTTGGTTCACGTTGTCGAGTGCTGATTTGTGATGACCGATTCTGACGCGTATTGTATAATTATACGGACCGGTAATAATGATGTTCGTGAGCTTCTAAGTTGACCGCGTAGCAGATGTGATGTTTGCGTTCTGATATCCAGAGCAATATTAACGCCTTCTCATTGGTGACGGTGAAAACGTAACGAATCCCGAAATTGTAACACGGTTTCCATTCAAAATTTAAATACATTAAAAAAAATTAAAAATATTATACCTTATAACACTTTGAGATCTAAATTATAGCTTACATACTCGAGGACTAATATTGCATGGGTATATTGAATCGTTCGCCTTCCGTGTACCACTTCAATTGTTTCGTTCGTATAATTTTGGAAAATGGTATTGTACTATAAATGTGTGAGATTGAGAGTTGTGATGCTGTTTGTTGAGCTGGTACGTAGCGAGGGCGACAGGTAGGCAGGTGTACAGCGCAGTACAGGCGTGTTGTTTGCATGTTGGTTGTTGGCGCGGGCAGGTGCCCTATGAGGCGGACGCGTGGGCCGACTGGCTGCATCGCCGCCCGCTGCTGCTGCAGGTCAGGACACACACTCATCCACCTGACTAAACCCCCCCGCCCCCAACCCCCCTCACCCTCTTCAGACCTTCGTGCGTATTACGAAAGTCCGCATTACTCTTACAATACTAAAAAAATAACTTTCAAATATACAAATTTAATTTTGAAAATGATTCTCTTCTTGCGTTCAGAGGAATGCGAGAAAAATCATCAAGATTTCACCATTACATCCATTAACAACCAATGTTCACATTTACCTACATGACTAATGTTGTACTAACATTATCTGGTATCGCAAGTATAAACTCCACTGATGATCCCTTTAATTATTTTTATCTTTTCACAATAATGAACCATGACTAAAATATTCTAATTAACTAACAATTCGACTCTATATTTAACGGAAACAATTCGTTAAAAGTAATTAGTATTAAATTAATCTTTACAATCCTGTCCTACGTTCATATTTACTTTAGATATTTCCCGTTTCCTTCTCTAGAACGGGTCCCGCACACGACGAGCATAGAGGGCCTTGTCACCGCTAACCACCTTTGTGTCTGTTTTAACGCTTATTACTATGCTTTTGTCGCAAGCACGCATGCGCACTGACTAACCTTTTTACCTTTTCAGCATCCTTCTAAACACTAGAACACTATCTTTCTACAAAAAAAACTAATATTATCAACTAAAACAGTAAAAATTATTGGTTACCAAGAAATAGGTTGTAAAGGTTGTAAAAATTATCTTGTAACCGAAAAACCATCTAAAATACGCAGCTCATATACATTGTGTACTAACTAAAACATTATGCATTCATATTCGATATTCTAACGTTTAGTGTTTAAATTGATTGTAAATATAACAAAAATCATTAAAAGGCATGGAACACAAGGACTAGGAATTATATATTAATAATTACCACATTTAATTTATATGTAGGATTTTGGTGTGAGATAAATATTTTAGCGGGTTAATTTACGATTCTATAACAAGTATGAATACATTACATTTTACTCAGCTCATATTCTCTTTTAGTAGGGCTTTTCGTTAACAAACCATAACCGATCCTGTGGACCGAATGGTAAACAGCCGACCTCGCCCTAGACACGTCATTACGGATCCTCCCGATCCATTAACGGTGCTTTTAGGTGCCTCAAGCACCGGTCACCGTCCTCGCCGAACCCGTCGCTTTCGACGAAGGGCTCGACGAGCAAATTAACCCATAGACACAGCCCACTGAGTTTCTCGCCGGATCTTCTTAGTGGGTTGCGTTTCCGATCCGGTGGTAGATTCTGCGAAGCACTGCTCTTACTAGGGCCAGTGTTAGCAACACTCCCGGTTTGAGCCCCGTGAGCTCACCTACTAGTCCGGTTACGCTGACATAGACTCTCAAAGCTATCAGCCTGGGTAGGAAAAAAAAGTTATGTATCGGCATCTGGGATATCACGGCCGCGAAGTCTACGTCCCGTATGAGATTTTGACTTCACGTTTCGAGGTTGATGCATTTACGTATTATATAGATGTCTGTGGTCTTCGATAACTACTTACCACGAGGTGATCCATAACGTCCACTCGACTAATGTAATATAAAACTACCCGCAACTAAAGCAAAGTCCCTAATTCTGTGAGATCGCGTTCAGTACAAGAGAACTTTTTTAAAGAGCGTTATTACTTTTTTGTTTCGTAATGTTAACTTTACATAAACAATAAGCCTTTAGTGATATGGTTTTGTTATTAACCAGACCTGTCTGTCTATATACACGTAAATGGGAGTCCAATTTTTATATTGGCTTAGCTCGTTTGAAAAACTAAATTGCTCTTTGTTTTGTTATATCTCCAGCTACGTTGGTAGATACATTGTAGTAACATTCAAATATAATAAGTATAATATAAGTTTTTGTGAGCTCCAGTCATTTTCTGCTTTTTCAACCAGACCATATGATAGTTAACTATACAACGATGATAATCACAAACTCCAATTTCATCATTGAAATCCATAGCTACATGGATATAAATCATATAAATATACTTTACACTTACAAAGTCAGCTTCGATGTGTTTTTATTTATTAATCTTGAAATTAATGTAAATGAGCTGCCATTTGCAGATACAAATTAGACGGTAATTTCTTTCAAAAAATATTTTCATTTAATCTAAGCTATAAATCTAGGTTGCTTGTCTCATCTGTCTAGTTATTAATGGTGGAGCTATTCAACTTCTAGCGCGTCAGGGATGGTGTTCGTTTAATTTTAACAGTTAGATCGTTTCATTATCTTAATTTCTGTATTGTAGTTAAAAAAAAACTGACCTTCTTAAATAGTAATTATTGACACAAATGAAGCATTGAATTTAATTAGCCTATTTAATGATTATTTTTTGCTGTAGTTTGTGATTAGACTGCACTTAGTTTTTTAAATAAAACACACTATGAAGACAATCACATACAGTGTTAAATTGATGACAGCCCTAAAATATTACCGAAAACTTTTATTAGTTTCTGTAATATATAAAGAGAATTGAATTATACATTTCTCATATATCAAGATGAGACAGGTAACTTAATGATTGAAAACTACTGAAATAGTAAAAAAATTGAAAGAAATTGAAATATCACCAATGGGTGATAGCAACGTTTAACAATTAGAACATAAATCAGGAGCAACCGTTGCTTCTCGAGGAGCTTCTGGAGCAGGAGAAGCGCGAACAGGAGCGGGAGGGCGAGTGGGGCGGCGGCGCAGTGGCGGCGCCGGCGGTGGTGGCCCCGCCCGCGCCCCCCGCCGTGCCGCTGTTCGCCGGCGTGCCCCCCGTGCAGCCGCCCGCGCCCTCCGACCGCTCGCACTCCGAGGCCGACCTACACGCGCGCCGCCTCTACGAGCAGTGGCTCAAGCAATTCAATGTCTTCGCAGTTGAGCAACAGCGTTACTACGAGCTCGAGGTTCAGAAACTTCGCAAGATTCGCAAGGTGAGCTCCGTAGTGCGCTTTCGTGTTCGTAAGCTTTGTAGTGCGTAGCAGAACCCCTTTGTTTTGCTTTTCGTTTTGGCAATATTTCCCTCTTCTTTATTATTTCGAGAATCCCCTTGGGATTTTGCACTCTTTATTTCTTGGTTGACTTTTGTTCTACACCGGTGTCTTTTATTTTTCAGTCATTAAATAGCAAGCAACGGCAGCTACGTAAGTCGGGGAATGAGTTGCTACCAAACGACGCAGCCGAGCTACAGCGCGTGTCAGCAGAACAGCAGGCTCTGCAGAAACACTTGGACGCCGCCAGGAAGCAAGCCAGGCAGCACAGTATGTTGATCCAGGTGAGTTAATGTTATGATAACTGCTTCATGTTTAATTTTCTTATCGTATATGAATTCTTAACGAACTACAATTGTATCATCGCGATTAACCACTTTTAAAATTCCAGGAATATGAAAATAAACAACGTCAACAAAATCCTCAGCTGGCTCAGCAGACTATAATAAATCAACAGCAGATAGCGACAAATCAAGGCACGCTCAACCAGGCTCAGACTATGAACCAACAGCAGCAACATCAGCAACAAACTATCAATCGACCTATGCAGTTGGGCATCCAACAGCAACAGACGTTGATTCGGAGTCAGCAGACGGTCCTCAGTGGTGAGCAAAGGATTGGACTGGTGACGTCACCGCTGAGCGCTCAGAGCCGGCTCGTACAAGGACGCACGCTCGTCATCGAACAGAGCGCCGTCCCGCAGCCGCAGCTGGTGCGGCAACTGTCGGGGCAGGAGCGCGGCGCCGGCATGCTACAGTTCGCAGCGCAGCGCGCGCCCGCCCCCCGCGCGCCCGGCCCGCGCCCCGCCATGTCGCCGCTGCACGTGCAGTCGCAGTCGCCGCTGCACTCCCTCGCGCCGCAGTCACCGCTCCATCATCTCACCTCGCCGATGCAGTCACCGCTCCACTCGCAGCAGTCGCCGTTGCATCACACCTCACAGTCCCCGCTGCATCCTTCCACTCAATCTCCGCATCACACGCAACAGTCGCCACTTCATTCTCAACAATCACCGATGCACGTCCAACAGACCAATCTGCCTCAACAATCTCCGCTGCATCCGCAACAGTCACCGATGCATCCACAACAATCTCCGATGCACCCCCAACAGTCACCGATACATCCTCAGCAGTCTCCGATGCATCCGCAGCAATCGCCAATGCATCAGCAGTCGCCGATGCACGCACAGCAACAAATGACCACACAACATTCTCCGATGCACCAACAGAGTCCGATGCAGTCTCAGCAATCGCCAATGCACGTCCAACAATCTCCAATGCATACTCAACAATCACCGATGCAAACATCGATGTCGCCGCAACATTTTCTTCAACAACTACAAGCTCAAAGAACAAGTCCTCAGCTACCTACGCCCAGTCGGAGTCCACAGGTAAAAAATATTCATTTTATTTTATACTTAAAATAAACACGAAAATTCTAGTTTTTAATAATTAAAAACATATTCCAGATTTATCAGCAATCACAAATACAAAGTCCTGTATCATCACATTCGCCACAGCTACAAAACGTATGTATTGAGACAAAATAATTTAAATGACTCTGATTTTTAGCTCCATGATGTAGGACTCCATAGGACAAGGATAGATTGCCAACATCGATACAGAATAGGTCGACATCACTTTCATTCGAGTAATAGCTATCCCTTCAGACCAGAACGTATGGACTGCTTCCTGGTCGAAAAATATGGTATAGGTCAATGCGACTAATAGGAAGTAGTGGGAAGGGTAGAAGAAGTTATGTAGATAAGTAAAATAAAGATATTTAACTGCAGATGGGTTTTGGGTTTTCAAGGAGGCTGTATACAGCATATTTTTTGTGTAGCTTTTGTGTGATATGATCTGACCTATTTCAGGCGGACTTTAGTGGTGCTCGATTTTCAAGACCGGCTTCTGGATGTTCACCAATGCCCACTCGGTTTGCTCGGCCACCTCATCATCAACAAGGTAAAAAAGAAAAACTTAATTATAAAAAAGTTAGTTATAACACACTAACAACTTTTATGCATTTTTCGTTTGTTAATGCAGGAATGAGAGTCGGTGTTGTGCCTTATGGTAGTCGGCAGCAAACTTCTCCTTTGGGGAGTCCACAACCACTGCCGTCTCCGGGCAATCCTAGTAACGAGCTAGCTGTGAGTTTATTTACACACATTAAGTAATTATAGATTTCTGAAAACAAATTTTTCAGTAACTAATCAATAAATTATCTTTGTGTAGAGACAACAAATGTTACAACGTCAGCAATACAGCCCAATGGGAGGGGCGCCGTCGTCACCTTCGATATCGAGATCTCCGCACGTAGCGCGCACGCCCACGCCCTCGGCATCTCCTGCCGCTTCTCCAGCGCCCGACCACGGCGGCGGCTCCATGCACTCTCACCACGCCGCGCCCCTCCCGCCCGGCTATCGCTACTGCCGCCCCGGGCTGCGAGGGGGAGCCCCGCCCTGGCCCCCCGCGCGACCCAAGCTCACGCTACTGAAGCGACGCGCATCTCCGCGCCCGCGCTACCCCGCCGACCAGTCGCACCCCGCGCTCGACGCCGGGCCCGAGACGGACTACGTGCTGTACGCTCGCACCGACGACGAGGACCCCGACGAACTCGAACATCTCGACGACGACGACATCGTGCTCGTCGAGCCGGGCACCATCTCGCCCAGCGAGCGTATCGCCACCGAAGAAGACTTCGAGGAACTGATAGACAGCGGCAAACCTGAAGATGAGGAGGAAGAGGTACCGACACCTCGCACGGAAACCGCCACTAAGACCGTCGCGGTGATCAGCCTGTCGACGGGCTCCCACCAATACAAGCTGATGAGTCCCGCCACGCGCCTGGCCGTGCTCTCGCCGCACGCCAACACTAAAATTCTAAATGAAGTATCGCAGGCGACGGTCGCCTCCGTCTCTATCGCCAACCAGACTATCTCTGTGCCTGTTCTAAAAAACCTTTCCGTGCCCATAGGAAATGCCAAACAGAACCAAATGAAAAAGATGCCGCACAACATCGCCCAGTCTCTGTCCATAAACGTATCGGCACCGCCACCCTCGAAGTCGATCAGTTCAGTGATAAGCGTCATATCGAACGTGCCGAAGGTGGCCAATGTGAACAATCCCGTGATCACGCTCGCGACTTCCGGTGCTGGTCCGTCACGCGTTCCCGTCTCTATTTTCACCCAACATCATGTCAAACAAAAGATCGTAAAAACGATCGAAAAACCGATGGGATTATCTCTTTCGAGCGCAAAACTCTCCAGTTTATCTGTGTCTCATGATGCAACTCTTCCTGCAAAAATATTCCAAGATGATGTCGCGTCACCGGACAGCACGGTCGCTGTGGACAGTGGGTCGGAACGAGATTCAGGCCCCGGTAGCTTATCTTCGACACCACAACAGAATATTTTATCTTCGATGACATGCTTGCAGGCACAGATAGAACAGAGAACGACCACTCTGTTCAAAGACCCTAGTAAAGATATTGATATAGAAACTGAGATAAGTCAACAGACTGAACTTCCGCATACATTGTGTTTGAGTGATCGTCCGCCTCTTCTGTTGGGCAAAGCGGACATCAAAAGTCCTGACCCTATTCCTGAGAAAATTCCAGACAACATAATGGAAGGCGATGATGAAGATAAACCTGAAGATGAAATTCAAAACGATTTGCTACTTTCGTACAATAAGACAATGGCTGATCCGTTGCCGCCGCCACCAAATCCTCCGCCTCCAGAAACGAAATCCGATGATGGCGTCTTAAAAACGATCAAAGCGATCGCCAATCAGACGAAGGAAATGGTCATTGACTCAAACATGCAACTCACGTCAGATATGGCGCAAGAGTCTGTCCAGATATCTATTCCTTCCCCGACACCGTCACAGGAGAGGTATCTCAACGACATAACCATGCAAGAACACCATGAAACAGTCGAGGGTAATTCTAAACATGTAGAATCGTTTGAGGACATGCTCTCAATGTTAGAAAATATATCCGATGAGAACAAACCATTCGAAATGAAACAACCTAATCAGAAATCTAATACGTCCGCTCAAAATTCAAATGTACATTCAGTTGCGAAAACAGAAAACAAAGACAATCAGGAACAATCATCGTTTGCAAAACGAGAAATGGAAAGACTAATGCCACAGTCGGCGGCGATACCGCAGCTGTCTCCGCTCTCTCAACCTGCTGAGTTGACGTCCAACATGGCGAATGTGTCGCAACAGCTCCGCACGATTATGTCTTCGTTGAACACCAACTCGGCTAAAACTGACAACCAGCCTGGTCTGAGAAAGAACAGTGACGCTACGACGCCGACTCAAGTCAATTTTGAAAATTTACTGCCTTCCTCTAAAGTAGAGGTGGCTCCTCCGAGACCTTCGCCTATTCAACGGATGGAAAAACCAGCGACGTCAATGCCGAGTCCAGATAACATGCCGATGAGCGCTGCCCAGATGGTGGGCTCCCGAGTGAACACATTATCCACTATAGGGCAAATGAGGAAGTCGCCAACTGTGTCACCTATTAACTCACCTGTGGGTATTCAGAACACTCTGATGAAATCCCCAGCCCAATCGCCATTGATATCGAATCAAACTTTTACATCCGTTGAAGATAACAGTCCAGGGTCTGTACCCTCTCAAGTTATACAAATGCCAGCACTTTCTAAGATTCAAAACAATCCTTCAGCTGCTTCTTCTATCATTCATACCAGCAACACTATTACAACCAGCATTAATACTTATCCTAAAAATCAACCTTTGCCCACTAGTATCTTGGGTCACACATTATTGCAACCTACAAGGCAAATAAACGCTAACAATTTACCTTTCAATCCACAAAGCATTAGTTCCAGTCAACCTCCTGCATTAGTGATGACTTCGAGACCTTTGATTGGAAATAAAGAACCGCCACCAAACGTTACGGTTAGAACGCACAACATGGTAACACCCGGAATGGGTCAAATGCAAGCCAAGCAAAGTCAGGGGTCGTTAAACTTTATTACTTCATCAAAATTACTCCACACGCAATTGACTTCTCCTCTCAAAAGATCAAAGTCAACCGATGAGCCTAAGAGTGAAGTGATTGTAGGGCATATCCAGCCTACGAAACGACATAGCGTGGAGGCTGTCGTAGTAAAGTCGGAACCTATGGAAACAGAGGATTCAACTAATACATCAAGCGGTAATGATATTTCCGGAAAAAATTCACAACATTCGAATGCAAACAACCAAAGAAATGATGAATCACAGAATGTTTTACTCAAACAACTCTTACAGATTACCACAACGGCATCCAATGTGGTTCCGCAACGTACCGTCACAATTCAGAGAACTGCTCCAGCTCTTGGTACGATACCGTCTTTGGAAGCCCAGCTGGCTAGACCTTCGATCCCACCACCGACCATAGCGCTTAGTCAGGAAGTAGAGCTTCCTAAAAATTCTCCGAGGCAAATGACAACCGTAAGTTCTCCCTTCACAAGCCGACCTATGCAAACTTCCATTCCTAGTTCTACTATTTCTACGCTTATTCATCATTCATCGACCCAATCTCTTATGGATGTAAGGAAGCCTCCAATAAAAATGATTACCAAAGAAGAAACCACGCCTATCCCAGAAAGTTCGCCAACCATGAAAACTATGCACATATACCAAGCTATGAATGCGGATAACCAACAAATGCAACAAAACATTAAAAAAGAAATCACACCGCCGCAACAGAGTCCTGTACATCGTCCATTCACTCCCATGGACGTCAAAAAAGAATTGTTAGATGAAAGCTCGCAACAATCTGCAACGTCGGGCGTTTCCACTGCATCCGATCAAGGTAAACTTGATCAACCCATGAAAGAAGAATATCCAGAAGTTGGGGGCTTAGATCCCTCTTCTGAAGCTAATGCACCTGAAACGCCCTCGGAAGCAAAGAAACGAAAACGGCGCGAATATCAACAGAAGAAGAGAAAAATGCAGCTAAGTATGAAAGCAGCCGCAGAAAATAATCTCAACGCAGCTAACGCGAAAAAGAGGCCGCGCAAAGGATCAAGATACGAAGAAGACTATGATACTTTTATAGATAATTTGATGGCACAACTGCGGTTGTTACCTCCTATGCAAATACAAGAGCCCGCTTTAACAACTAATTTTGCAGTTTGTCCAGTGTTCGGATCCGGCGATTTGACTAAATTAAAAAGTAAGGATTGTGATATATTAAAAGGTGACCTGATAGGAGACTTTGGTAATGCTAGAATCCCAAACGTGGCCGATTATTATAATACAAAACCGTTTGGAGACGAGGAACCGCTCCCTGAAAAACCACCTGCATCAACACAAAGAGGATTTTACGATCAAGAATTTCAACCAATCATGTTTGATGAAGATCCCGAAGATAAAAAACTAGATTTCATCTGCAAGGAACGTGACACTGACACTCCTGACAGCATTGTTAGTTGTTCTAGTCCAGAATGTCTCGACATCGAGCCCGCTAATAGGTTCCCTGGTCTCAAACTAATCGATGACGAGGAAGAAGAAGAAGATAGTGACTCTGGTTCAGGACGCGTCTCCCCTATCATTCCTATGATTGCCCCCGTTCCAATAAGAATAAAACCAGTTTCCATGTATCAACTGAAAGAAGAGGAAGATAATCAGAAAGCCCTCAAATGTCTCGACACAGATTCGCCTAACAAGCCTAAGATGGAAGACTCTCCTGGCAGTACGGAGAGTAATGAAAATGTAACCGTTACGCTTACGCTTACTTCTGGAGCCGCAGAAGATATACTTGGAGTCCTCAAGGAACTTGCTGGCATTTTACACATTCCACCACCGACTTCCTACCAAATAATAGAAAGAACTGCTACTCCACCATCGCATAAACTCGGTTTGTATCGATCTAAAGGTAAAGACGGCAAAGAAGGTACGCCGATCGACATACAGAGTATTCTCAACGGTGCTGCGAAGTTTTGTCGACATTGTGACGTCGTCATCTTAGATTCTGTAGTACGAGCCAAAGCCTCAGAATTTCCTTTGTTATCTGCTAATAAAGGAAACGCCGGTGAAATACTTTGTGATAGCGATTCTGAATTATATTTCTGTAGCACACAATGCTACGAAAGATTTGCATGGCGACCGACAAATATCATTTTAGATGGAAAATCGAAAACTAGCGTAAAGGACGATAATAAGTCGGACGTCGAAACAAATCTGTCCAAAGATCGAGACGACTTTGATACCGCATCCACAGAGAGCATGGAGACGGATGATTTAGATATGAAACCTGACATCAAGGATGAAAAAATGGATCTCTCATTCATGGATTCGCTGGACAACGATGAACTCATGAAAGAAGTCGGCGATGACGTCAGCGCCTTAGACGAAGATTTGAAAAGTGTCGAACAAGACGAGAAGAGTAATCAGAGTACAGAAAAAGAAAAATACCGAGGCATAAGGTACAAAGCTTGGTCTCCGGGCTGCATCGGTCCGCCTGTGAAGTACAAACGTCCGACAGACAGGGAACTCACAGAGTTGGTATTCCGCACCGGAGTCGCCATCATGCCTGTGACGAATGAAGACTCTCGCAAATGCGAACTGTGCGGGATCCAAGGAGACGGAGTGGCCGACGGGGTGTCGAGATTACTGAACTGTGACGTAGACCGCTGGGTACATCTCAACTGTGCACTGTGGTCGGAGGGAGTGTACGAGACCGTGAGCGGAGCGCTGATGAACGTGGAGACAGCCTTAGCTACTGGTTCGAACTCCACCTGTGCGGTTTGCCGTCGATTAGGAGCTACAGTGAGATGTTTCAAAGTCCGCTGTGGAAATGTGTACCACCTCGGGTGTGCCGTAAAAGATAGCTGCGTGTTTTATAAGAACAAGACTGCGTACTGCGCGTCTCACGCACCGAAGGTGAGCATTCAATATTTTACATTTATTTAGACTTTACAAGACTTCCAAAAGCAGACTCAACTATTTTGTAATAAAAGGATGACGCAATTTTATAAAACTTCCAATGAATGCTTGTTGTTTTAGTAACTTCATATTTTGTGATTCCGTAAAGTATCCATAAAGACGACTAACAATCGCCCTTACTATCTTGAGACAGAAGATTTTGTTAATTTATTGTTATTGTAATACATTGCGTGCTATACAAATAAACAAGTTTTTCGGAACATCTTTTTTCTAGGAATCCTGTTCGAAATGTAGCACATCAACTGGGACCCTTTGCTTTGAACAATTTCAATATTTTTTGCTCCTACCTACGCTAAAAGTTCGGTTTTCCTCCCGCTGTACAGGGAACAAAGTGTAACTTTTTCTCCCTGGGTACAAGTGCGCATGCGCGTTAGTGTCTACGTCTGCTCTGACGCACCTAAAATTCTCCGCCATTGTTGTGCTCGGGTAATTTGCAATATAGTGTTTAGTGTAAAAGTGAAATAAACAAAAGGCAATAAAATTTAATAGTGAAGTATTAAACAAAGATGAGTTCATCAGACAGTTCTTATTCAATTAGTAGTTATTTATTTAAAAATTAAAAAACAATTAAATTGTTTTTTTTGTGAGTACGGGGGCGCACCGCCCCCCCTTCCCCCGGCCAGGGCTTCGCCCCTGGACCCTACCGGGGCTTCGCGCTTGAACCCTGGTTTGGTACTCCACGAACTTTCGGCCGAGTAAGAGAAAAAATAGTATATGCACCGCGGGAGTCAAGTTAGACATTTCCTCCAGCGTGTTTGCCACCCTCGCCTCGAAATGTCCAACTTTTCTCCTTTGGTGCACAATGTACTATTTCCATCATACAATTCAAAGTTAATACTTGAAAGCTTATAACAGATTTGTTAATTTGTAAACTCTTCCTTAGAATGAAAAAGACAATGAACTCACTACGCTGAGCGTGCAACGTCGCGTATACGTGTCCCGAGACGAGCAGCGGCAAGTGGCCTCGGTGATGCTCCACTCCGACACTAACCATCTGATCCGAGTCGGGGGCCTCATATTCCTCAGCCCGGGCCATCTGTTGCCGCACCAACTGGCCGCATTCCACACGCCCAACTATATCTATCCGATTGGATATAAGATTGTAAGTTTTATTCACATAGTAATTTATAAAGTTCAGCTTTTAAGGTGCAGTAGATTGGGGGGAATAAGCACTAGAGGTAGAATTTTTTTATTGGTGGTAAGACCTTTGGTGAGTCCGCACGGGTAGGTACCACCGCCCTGCCTATTTCTGCCATGAAGCAGTAATGCGTTTCGGTTTGAAGGGTGGGGCAGCCGTTGTAACTATACTGAGATCTTAGAACTTATATATCAAGGTGTGTGGCACATTTACGTTGTAGATGTCCATGGGCTCCAGTAACCACTTAACACCAGGTGGGCTGTGAGCTCGTCCACCCATCTAAGCAATAAAAAAAAAAGAATAGGGACAAATCTGGGATGCCACAATACTTTTGTTGAGTTGTTAGATTTAACTTTGTTGAACTGAAAATTACGTTTATTTAGTGTTTAAGAATATTAAATGCGTTAATTTAGTCATCAAAGTTTTGTAACACAATATATGCATTAAAAAGCTAATTGCCGAAAGTTAGCTACCTACCTAATAACTAAATAGTGCCAGCCCCATCGAAAAACTATTGTTCCCATACGTAACCCGATTCAGCCCAACGCCTGGGTGAATAGGGATAAGAGAGTTTTTGTAACTTTTTATAATTATTCTTTAATAAACAATATCTTAAGGCAATAAAAATTTATACTACCGAAACCATTATGATCTCCGTTTTATTACTATAACTACAAAAAAAACGATAAAAATCAATGTCGAACTTAAAAACTGTCCCGATTCCGTTCAATTTACGGTGCTCAGAAATAGTGAATTATATTAATTTTCAATTAAAAATTAATATATAACTAATTTGTTATAAAAGACTGACTTGGAGAAAACATATTATATTTACCAAGCGTCTTGCGGTGGGTCAGCAAATATGTATTAATATGTAATTAATAGAAAGTCTCAACTGTTAGTTGAAAATAAGCTGTTGCTATACAAATCTATAATCAAACCCATTTGGTCATATGGCATCCAATTGTGGGGTACTGTGTTAAACTCAAATATTGAAATCCTCCAAAGATTTCAATAAAAAAACGCTCAGGATGATAGTGAACGCACCATGGTATGTTACAAATAAATGAACCAATTATGATCTTGCCATAAGAAAAGTCAAAGATGAAGTAATCCATCGAGCTAAAGCCTACTGTGTAAGATTGGAAGCCCATCCAAATAGTCTTGCTAAGCATTTAATGGATAACGAAATGACTACAAGAAGACTCAGAAGAAGAGTGCATCAAGATCTACTAGATCTATTGTAGATTCATTGATATGAACATGTCAATGTCAATATGAACAAATGTCTTAAGACAGGTGACTGAAAAAAAAAACTAATTTGTATAAAACTTTTCATGTCAAGTGTTACAATAATATTAATATCGTTACGAGATTAGTATGTATGGGTGTTGTGTTCCAGGTGCGGTTCTACTGGTCCACCCAGCGCGCCAACAACCGGTGCCGCTACCTGTGCTGGATCTCCGAGGAGGAGGGGCGGCCGCGCTTCCACGTGCGCGCGCAGGACGAGCCGCGCCACGAGGCCAGCGCGCCCACCCCCCGCGCCGCCTGGGCTAATGTCCGTTGAATCTCCCTTCTGTCATTCACGTTGTCCTTAAAAACTGTAGATGAAATAAGTCGTAAATTAATTATTGACTTTATGAATCACGTACCTATTCTACTATGAAAAATTGTAGTAGATATAAAAAATACCAAAATATATATTTTGGGTATTGATAGAACCCTGCCCGGTCATCGTTCTCGTCGAACCCGTCGCTTGCGACGAAGGGCTCGGCGAGTAAATTAACCCATAGACACAGCCCACTGAGTTTCTCGCCGTATCTTCTCAGTGGGTTTCGTTTCCGATCCGGTGGTAGATAGTGTTAGCAACAATGTCAGGTTTGAGCCCTGTGAGTTCACCTACTCGCCCGGTTACGTTGAAGTGGTCTCTCAAGACCATCAGCTTGGGTAGGATAAAAAAACCCTGGTCATTTCTGCCGCGAGTCAGCCAGTCGCAGGATTAGGGCAGCCGTTATAGTGTGTATTATATTGTGACTTCACCTCATGTCTCAAGGTATGACGAACTTCATATTATAATGCCTATGAATTCCGGTAACCACTTAGACCGACTGTGCCGTGAGCTCGTATAATCATCTATATGTATGCAATGAATTTTCAGATACTAGATGCCGTGGCCTCTCTACGTGAAGGACGAGGCGAAGAGGGCGTATTAAAATTGTGGCCGAATTATGTAACTGGGGAAGACCTCTTCGGTTTGACCGAGCCTGCAGTTGTTAGAGTATTAGAAAGTTTGCCTGGTGAGTTTGTTTTAGATGTTATTCAAAGTGCCACAGTATGCCATTGAAAATTAAAAAAGAAAAAATGACCAAGTATTTTGGACCTCCTAGAAATATAATTTACATTTTAATGTTGTGATATATTCATAAAATTGTAGTTTTAGTTAATTTTCAATATGCTCCAGAAAAAAATTGTATGAAAGATCATGATACCTATACTTTCGAGTATGTTATGTGGTTTATTATTTTTACTCTAAAATGAAACATGTAGTAATAAACAATAAGCTATACTTGTTTGTTGTTGTTCGTCACTGTAATGCTAGCGTGGGCATGTCAAGAAAACTTTTATCATAGTGCCCGCCACTAACTTAAGATAGAGCGCGCTCGAGTAGTGTTAAAAGTAACAAGTCTTTATCAAGTTGTATCAAAGTAGCGTGTTCAGGTTTATTAGTATATATTATATAATATAATTAACATGACATTCTTATCCGACCGCGACGGGGCAACGCAAAACCGCCGTCGCTCGAAACATGTCTTGTCGGATCCCCCGTATTCACTCCTGGTGCTTTTAGGATCCTCATCCCCCCACCGGTCATCGTCTTCGTGTGTCTCGAGCATCGAAGTCGTCGATTACGAAAAGTTAGACGAGCGAACTAACCCATAGACACAGCCCACTCGCTGAGTTTCTCGCTGGATCTTCATTTGCGATTCAGATCTGGTGGTAGATTCAGTGGAGCATGGCTCTCGCTAGGGCTAGTGTTAGAAAATTTTCACAGGCTGAGCCCGTGAGCTCACCTACCCGTCTGGGCGTATTTGTAAAAGTCTCTTAAGCTACCATGGAATAGGGGGAAACAAGTGACCGTGTAGGTAAACCATGGATGCCTTTAGTGGCATAGATGTGTAGAAGGTCGCACACGGTACTCACACGCGCTTGTCCCGCAGGAGTGGAGACGCTGACGGACTACCGGTTCAAGTTCGGTCGCTCGGCGCTGCTGGAGGGCGGGCTGGCCGTGAACCCGTCGGGCTGCGCGCGCTGCGAGGCCCGGGCGCGCACGTGGCGCCGCGCGCTGCTGCCCGCCACCGCGCCCGCCGCCGCCGCCGCGCCCTCCGACACGCCCTGCCCCTACACCAAGCAGTTCGTGCTCACCAAGAGCAGCCAGTACAAGAAGATGAAGATGGACTGGCGCAACAACGTCTATCTCGCCAGGTAACACACGACAACACACCCGGTGTATTTGTATCGATCGGTGCGACTTTGCCGATGACGATGCCGATTCTAATCCCGTAGGCAGGTACGAATTTTGAATACGCTTTTATTAGCTTCAGACGTATGTATGTTTGTAACGGAATCTTTGAACATAATTTGACCCCTTTCAAAACGCCGGGTTAACGCGAAATTTGGTATACTAATTAAGGAACGATGACAATTTAATATTTAAAAAAAATATGGAAATTCAACTAAAAAAATAAAAATAAATAATAGATTAAAAAAAATAACAAAATACGCTTTTATAGAAAATCCAACTAAAAAATTGAATTGGGGTGCATCAGTAGTTATAAATATTTTATGAACAGATATGAGTAGAAGGGTTATTTTGATAATATCCTGAAAAGCACCCCACGCTTTTTTTTTTACAATAAAATCCTTTTTTCTAACACTGTTCTTAATTAAAATTTATTAAAATTTATTTTCTATTTTTTAGTTGGATTTTCTATAAAAGCGTATTTTGTTAGTTTTTTTAAACTATTATTTATTCTAATGAAATGCGTACTTAACAGATTTTCACGAATGAAGGATTAAAGAATAGCATCGTGTAAAAATCAAACCCGCATACATTTTAAATACTATACAGTTGAGACTTCGACCTTATGGGATGGTGAATGGGATTAATTTATATAAAATTTTAATTTAAATAATTTAATATACTCCAATATATTTTATCTTCACTCTTCAACTCTTACTTACAGTTACAAGTTAATGAAGGCGTCGCGTTTTAATGTCCATGATTATGTATAACCACTTTACTCCAAGTGGCAGTGAACTCGTTTGTCGAACTATTAAAAAGCAAATAAAGAGTACACGTTGTATGGGTACAGAGTTACTAAACACTAAGAATAGTATCAACAAAACCACAAATTCAGCTCACTTTATTTAAATTTGTGTTTAAAATATTTTAATTCTATCACAGATCAAAGATACAAGGGCTGGGGCTGTACGCTGCACGCGATCTAGAAAAGCACACTATGGTGATAGAGTACATTGGCGAAATAATACGATCGGAACTCTCAGAAATGAGAGAAAAGAAATACGAATCGAGAGTAAGTGAACGTTTCTATTTTATTTTATTTTTTAATGCCGTATATGAAGACGATCATATGGCCAACCTGATGGTGAGTGGTTACCGTCGCTTATGGAAGTCAGCAATGCCAGGAGCAGAGCCAAGCCGCTGCCTGTGGTTTAATAGTCTCCACAAGCCTCGTTTGAAGAAGAATATGTCATAACGCTCGGGAAACACCGTGGAGGGGAGCTCATTCCAAAGCCGGATGGTACGTGGCAAAAAAGGTCTCTGGAAACGCATTGTGGATGAGCGTAGTCGCTCCAGGTAGTATGGATGAACTCTACTCCGATGGCGGGCGGCGCGATGGTAAAAACGAAATAATTCACATGACTTAATCCTAATCTATGTGAATATTTGTGGATAGAATCGCGGCGTTTACATGTTCCGGCTGGGCGAGCGGCGAGTGATAGACGCCACGCTATGCGGCGGCCTCGCGCGGTACATCAACCACTCGTGCCAGCCCAACTGCGTCGCCGAGACAGTGGAGGTCGACCGCTGTCTGCGGATCATCATCTTCGCCAAGAGACGCATCTCACGAGGAGAAGAGGTACACTCGACTCATTGATTTAAACAATCGATCTTAAAATCAAGGAGCTGTACATGTCTTGTTATCGGTGTTACTGTACCTTTCATCTTTGGACATTGACGTTTTACAGGCAACATTTATTAAATTGACTAACTGTTTTTTTTTTTACTTTTATATTGTCCTAAAGTAAAGTAGCTGTTTTTTAAATTTCTAATTAATAGTGTAGTGTGAAAAAGGTGCACTGTGAGCGCGTTTGACTATTTATAATCATTCATGACTATAAACATCAAAATCAGCTTTAATATAATAGCACTCAAACATGTGGTATACTGCCTACCCACAAACAAGCCTGCAAGATTCCATGGCAGCAAAAACAGATGGTACTATGATACCGATCCATACAGGCTTGCGACACGCTCACTCAAAATCTATTTCTTAACCTAGAAGAGATCGTTTCTAAAGCCCAAAACTGTTAATGACTGAACGAACATAAATGGAAAAATTAAAATTAATTTGCTATTTATTTTATTAAATGATTTTATCCTTGACTCGCAAACTAAAGCATACAGATCGGTTGTTATGGAACTTAGATTATTAGTTGTATATTGTTTTCACAGCACAGAGTACTGTTTATTGTGTCAATATTTTAATTTACTTATTTTTCTCAACAGCTCACCTATGATTACAAATTCGACATAGAAGACGATGCTCACAAAATCATGTGCATGTGCGGCGCGCCCAACTGTCGCAAGTGGATGAACTAAATGCTCAAACAAACTATTGTTACTACATTTTAAAGGAGTGAATTAAATTTATTGATGTGATTCATATTTGTATATAATGCTGGATATGAATTCGTTTGCTAGGTTGATCGAAGGTTATAATGAATTGTGGTCCAGAGAAGGCTATGAAATATTATGTTTACCAAAGGAACGGATCAACCGTGAATGTTAAGGTTTATGAATTTAAGTAAATATTCACAAAGCCTTGTGATCTAATAAATAAGACAATATCAACAGAATTTTATTAATAAATTTTAACAATTTTTATATAAATTATGTTTCTACTATATATTGTAATTAGTAAGTCCTCAACACACTTGTAAATAAAACTAGATCCGTGTGAGATATTGTTATTGAATTTTAATATTTTAGACGTAAACGTTTTATAATAGTCGTAGATTGTAGAATTAGTTTTGACTTTATTTTTCTATGAATATTTTTTTTATTTCAAAACACTAAAGTATAGTTTTGGTTATTATTTAATCGATATTAGTGTGTACCGGCACGTATACTACGATAATCTCAGCTGTAGCGTTGCGTTAGGTTAAGTTACCAAATAGCGAAGTATGCATTTAGTTTCCACAGGTAGCACAAGCGTCGTTTCTTTACCTAAAATATATTTAATAGATGTATAAATAAATGTAAATAATCTTATAATGTCACATAAATGTAAATTTTATATTAAATTAAGAATTTCTTTCGTTTTGTAAAACTGAATTTTAAATGCCGTAATTTAAAGAAAATATATAATGTAAAGGTTAGACATACACAAAGAGGTAACATTAGACCACCATGTGCCTGACCTAGTTCGTGGTAGGATAGACTACGGAACGCCACATCGCGCCTTCGGAAAAATCTTTTACTTGTATTTTTTAAGTGAATGTGTTGCAATTTGCCGGATTGCACCACCCTGAAGAAAGATATCTCACTTTAAATTAAATATCACTTAGGGACATTACAGAGTACTCAAATTCTATTATTAATTTAAATACACAGTTAATTTGATTGGATTTGAGTTTATCGCGTTGCGTTCAGTTTCTAACTCTTTTATAATACCAATTTTGTAATTTGACATTTTGTGAGTCCATAATGAAAAACGTACAAACTCGCCGGTAAAATCATACTACCAGCGGCCTTTCCATATATGTACATTGTATTCATTGTATTGAATAATAAGGTCCAAAAAATTACTAGCTTACTTATTTTTACCTCGTAAAAAAATATTATTATATAGAGTGAATCCACAAAAAGATTCTTCCGAAATTCTCCAATGAATTTATATTTATCCTAGACAGTATATATTAATGCATGCTATGTTACGCTTTCTATTCCCTGCCCAAACCGTATACAAACCTTGATTAGTATTACAGATAATTCCCTATCCTCAAACAAATTATATCTCTCATAGAACTTAATTATAGTCGGATTTTTTATTAGACGAAGTTAACTGACGTTTACTGTGTTGTCAGTTTTTGATGAAATAAAAATAGTGTTGTGACAAAGTGAAAGATTGAAAAAACTCCTGAATTAATGAAATTGCCTCGATTGTCTAGTGAATAGTTGGTGTGCCGAATTGCCGATATCGGGTACGGGGTTCGAATTTTAGGCGTGCTTTGTACATACCAACGAGTTTTCGACGAAATATTATGTTCCTATAGTATCTACCTGTACTGAATACCGAGTGTTTTAAACATTAAGAAAAACATTGCGAGGAAGCTTGTAAGACTGTCCTATTTCCAATACATCATATAGTTGAAATTATAGACGTATAAAATATAACAATTATAGGTAGGTAATGAAAATAAAAAAACTGATTGTAGTTACATACTACTAGTAACATATATTGGAGCACTTTAATACAATTTTATTGTAAAATATAAATAATATTCTTTTATAGTTTGAAATTAATGATTAACTCTTCACACTCATTGTTCATTCATGTGATTGAACGAGAACTGAACGCATCACTATTACTTTAAATATAGCAACATTATTTCACAAAGTGACATTAGCTACTGTCAGCTGGCTTCGTCTAATTAAAAATCCGACTATAGTCATTCACTTTTCAATATATGCGTATAAAAATTTAATTACAATCTTTGAACTAGTCGTTTTAATAATAAATCGACTAGACCAATGTCCTATTATATTAATGAATTTGTCTCAGTTTTAGAATAACTACTATAACATAACAACATATAACTACTACAACTGATCAACGAGTCTGCACTGCTTCCATTGTGGGCTCAAAATATTTTTGCTAATATATTCATAAATTAGCAATAAGAATTGTTACCTTAAAAGAGTAAATCATTAAGCTGCATAATTACCTTATTTAAATTTTATTTCTCATAAAATATAAACGGAATATAACCATACGGAATGGAAAAAAGTCGTGAGCTGTAGTTAGAATAATTTTATGTAAATGTAATAAAGTAGTCCCAAAACGTGTTATTACCTCACATGTTACGCACGTATGAAATTTATTGTGATTATAATAAGTAGAATTTATGAAAAAAAATAATTAGCTATGCATTATTAAATATTTACACCCGCTGAAGGTTTTATAGAAATTTGCATAAGGTAGTGTGTGTGTAAGATCTGGTTTTAGAAGAAATTTATCGAGCTGTAAAAAGTTTATTAAATAGAGTGAATTATTTTCAAGCTGGATGCCATTTATCTATGTTATAAATTCAAGTGATTTAATTTTAAGTGTTAAATGTGCAATAAATAAACATATTCATATAAAATCAGATTCTAAATCTCTTCAGCAAAATGACATTTTTATTAGATTTAGATAATTAATGCATTGTTTAAGAAATGAAACTTATCTTCATATTTTTCTCACTGCTCTATTTATTTGAAGCATTCCTGCACGCTGCACTGTGTAACGTAAACAAAGAATGTTAAAAATGTTGTTGGTAAAAAATACCGCGAAATAATCTACATACATTAGTATTTTATTATTGCATTATTTTCCTATCATTAAAGTTTTAATTAGTTGCATGTTTTTTATTTGCATTCCGATGTGTGGCTTATTATTGACATACAGCAAGAAGCAAAAATCAGTACAATAAAATAGAGATGTCAACCTGGTCACAATGGGCTATGTTTCAGTAATCACTTAAAAGAAGGTAGACTGATCGGATCTTCCAATCTACAATAAAAAGGGTGTATGTACTTATGTACGCGCGTAAGAAGTTATACTTTATTTTTATTTATTTTTTTCTTTTATTTAAATTTTTATCAATTTGAAAAAATCGATTAAACAACATCCTCCAACACGCATATTGGACATCCCTTTTCTTGACATCGTATATATTCGGTAATTCTCGGTACGGTTCGGAAAGTTCACCTGCGGCTATATTCAGACTCGCCAAGTTACGTCGGTCGTATTGTAATGAGCGATTGAGTGGGCAACTTCATACTGTTAATTTTGCGTCCCGGAGCGCGCGCATCGTATAATTTCACTCTCATCAATTTTTAATAACGCGCCTAAAGAAGTATAACTTCAATAACCTCATATATACTATATACCTAGTCATCCAGCGCAATGTTTGATTGGTCTACAATAATAGTACTTAATAAACTATGAATTTTTTTAACTTGAAAGATGCCACAGAATGTAATAAGATGTTGGTTTAAATTATTATTTTAATTTTGCATAAATTTATAATGAAGTCGTAATATTAGATTAGGTCTCACTGTATACCTACCTAATATATATTAATACGTTGAACGCCATACTACCTGGCGCCTGGCCCAGCGTACTACACCTATCGGGCCTAGACAAAATCAGGGAATCAGTAATTTTTATCAACTTTAGATTTTTGTTCTAAAATTTATAAAATGCGATAAATTGTACGGAAGATAAAAATTAGCGACTTTTACCGTTTAGTTTTTAAAATATTTTAAAAGTCTATAACTTTGGTAAAAACTGCAAGTGTCTATAGGATTCGGAAACCACGACGTTAAGTTCAGCTAAATTACCACTTCTGTACGCGTTTTGTTTTATAGCTGCTATCTGTGATTTAGGAATCGTTTACATTGGAACCCTCACGCGGTTCGCGAGTGACTCTCATGACCCAAACGGTTCAGTAAGATATGGCTCATCGGTGAGCACTGTAGCCTGAATGAAAATACTCGATTTTTCATTTGGCGCTCAACGTGCTACGGCAGTTCGTCAAAATCCCAAATGACTAAGGACTACAACATGATCAAATCATTGCAAATATTTGGAATAGTAGACTGGACAAACTTTATATACAGGTAAACTTTATATACATGATCAAATCATTGCAAATATTTGGAATAGTAGACTGGACAAACTTTATATACTTTAGAGGCTCCTCTACATGATGGCCCAGCGAGATGGCCACGCGATTGTCGAAACGTAAACACGATGGCGACATTCGGCTGCGGCAATATATTTATACAGCACCTACCATTATCGTTGTGTTGTTTATGTTTGGGATTCTACATCATGCTTTCTTTCAGATATATGTTGTTTGAAAAAAAAATATAATTTCACTATGAGGTTCATGTATTCATGTTTAGTAAAATTTGTAGAATAAATAAAACCAACGTCCACACTTAACCGCGTTAGAGGATTCGTTGGAGAATGGACCACGTGTAGATGGGTACCAACCTCACTAGCCCGCTTACCTTATAGTATTATTATAGTAGCTCTAGACGATAGGTCATCCCGAAGTTTTTTAACGTTTTCCATAGCGTAAAAGTTACCTAACTCAAATTTGTATGCAGTTGGGACAGCGCCCCTGGCGGCAAACGGGGCGAACGTTCCAACTCCGCACAAACATGAGTTAACTTTAACGCTATCGAATACGTTAAAAAACTCGCTCTGAGCACACTGTGTATTTGTTACTAGAACGTATAGATCCCAAATGAGAACGTCATTACCATGAATTCTTTTAACTAGATCTCAATTGTAGTTTCACAGCTGATATAACCCTCCAATTGGTTCATGGCAAAAACCAGCAGATTGGTGTTATCTACCCGTGTCTGCTGAAATTTGCTCTACCACTAGTAATTTGCCCAACCTACAAACGAGAACAGAATGAAGGATGCAGAACACTTAACGGCACAAATAGGCAACTATTATCTACCGGCAAAAGCTTATAATTCTAAAGACTATTATTTAAATTAAAGTTAAATTATCAAGGTTTTGGCATTTCCTCCTCCTCCTTGCGTCGGTTTCCTCATTACTGAGAGTCGTGGTAATGGCCTTGAAACAGTTTGTTTTTTATAATGCTTTATATTATTATATTTTTTCCTACCTAAGCTGGTAGCCTGGAGCGGCTATTCCAGCGTAACCGTGGCTAGTAGGTGAGCTCACGGGGCTCAAACCTGACGACGATGCTAACACGAACCCTAGCAAGAGCCGTGCTTCGCAGAATCTACCACCGGATCGGAAACGCGACCCACTGAGAAGATCCGGCGAGAAACTCAGTGGGCTGTGTCTGAGAGTTAATTTACTCGTCGAGCCCTTCGTCGCAAGCGACGGGTTCGACGAGAACGGTGACCGGTGCTTGAAGTACCTAGAAGCACCGTTAGTGGATCGGGAGGATCCGAGATGACGTGTTTTGGGCGACGTCGACTGCTTTCCATTCTGTCCGCAGGATCGGGAATGTAGTTACCGGCGGTCACGATGAGAGGGTTCTCGTGTCGTGACGCTTTATCGAAGTGGCGCATCGACGCCGACTGTAGATACTTACTGATGGACTCTAAGTCCAGGTCGTCATGGAGGTCGACGTTCCTGACGAACCACGGGGCTCCGACGGCTATCCTGCAAAAACGGGATTGAATGATTTGGAAGGATTTTAAGCGAGTGCGGGCCGCGTGAGCGAACACTACACTTGCATAGGTCATAAAGGGGCGTATGCAAGTTTTGTAGAGTGTCACCTTATTTCTAAGGGACATTTTACTTCGCCTGCATATCATCGGGTAGAGACGTCCTAGAATGAAGGCGGCCTCGTCCGAACGGCCCTCCTCTGTATGGAGTCAAATGGAAGAAGCTGGTATTTGGGAGCCCCGGCCCAGAGATGGGAGCAGTACTCCACGCGAGGCCGGACTTGTGCTTTATAAAGCAAAAGCCTTTGTCCAGGCGTGAAGTACCGCTTCGCTCTGTTGAGGACTCCCAGCATTTTGGACGCCAACTTGGCTTTGCCTTCCAAATGACTCCGAAACTAGACATCGCTCGAAATGTCGACCCCAAGTATCCCAATACTCTCGGAAGGTTGCAGGGATACCGATACCAGGGATAGTGTGCGGACTAGGCTGCTCTTGGTGTTCATAGATATATTTTTGTCCTTCCATATTTTGTCCAGCTGAGACATGGCACCTTTTGCCATCCCAATCCGTCTGCGAATTTCCGGTTCACAAGAGCCATTGTTGCTGATGTTGGAGCCCAGGTAAACAAAGTTGTCCGTTACTTCTAAATTAAGTGTACCGCTGAGCTCCAGTGTGCCTGTGCGATCAACGATCATGACCTTTGTTTTAGATCTGTTTATCGCGAGTCCGAGGTCTTGGCTAATGCGCTCCATCCTGTCCAAGAACCAGCCCATCTTGATTTCGCTGGCTGCCAGGAGAGTGGTGTCGTCAGCGTAGAGTAAGTAGGAAATTTTACAGCCTCCGACGGTAATGCCACCATTCCAACCATCGCATGTTTTCCTGACGATGTATTCGCCGTAAATATTGAACAGGATGGGTGACAGGATGCAGCCCTGCCGCACGCCCTTGTGAAATTTGAACGAGTCAGATGCAGTCCTATCGACTCTCACTACTCCCTGGCTGTTGTAGTATGACTGAAGGAGTGCAGTAAGGTGGCGAGGGACCCCAGCTTTGTGAGGACATCCCACAAGCAGTTTTGGCATTTAAGGGTCAAAAAGTCTGACAGACAGACAAAAATTTAAAGAAGTCGTCGTGGATCAGACGTCCGTTGCATTTGTATCCACCGATGCACCGATGTTCAGAGTCCCGCCGGCAGGTACCAATTTTTCTAATGAACGAACGCTGACGTAGTTAACATATGTTCACGATTGACTTCCACAGTGAAGGAATAACATTGTGTAACATTTTATTACTGGTGGTAGGACCTCTTGTGAGTCCGCGCGGGTGGGTACCACCACCCTGCCTATTTCTATTTCGTGAAGCAGCAATGCGTTTCGGTTTGAAGGGTGGGGCAGCCGTTGTAACTATACTGAGATCTTAGAGTTCATATCTCAAGACGGGTGCCGGCATTTACGTTGTAGATGTCTACGGGCTCCAGTAACCACTAAACACCAGGTGGGCCATGAGCTTGTTCACTGACCTAAGCAACAAAAAAAAAACATTAAAATGATATAAAAATTATATATTATTTTATTGTATTTGTTTTTAGATTCAAAAGATCTAAAATATTAGATTTAATTCTCATTATTAATTTATTAAGGATGTAAATGTTTTATGGTATATATGTACGTTGGTTTTGAGTAGCTGGAAAGTAAAAGGTATTTGTTGTGTAAACTTCTTTATTGAAAGTCCACATTGAACTTAACCTAAAAGCAGATTACAGCCTGCGTCCTCTTCGGCCACCCTTCCTACGGGTCGAGTCTGATGGTACGGGGGTGACATCTTCAATGCGGCCAATCTTCATACTTGAACGAGCAAGAGCCCGAAGTGCAGACTGAGCACCAGGACCAGGGGTCTTTGTTTTGTTTCCACCAGTAGCACGGAGCTTTATGTGCAAGGCCGTTATGCCAAGAGTTTTGCATTTCTCTGCTACATCCTATAACAATGAAATAAATAGAATTATTTTACGTAAAAACAATTTTAATAAATTAGCTTATCAAAATTACTAATTTGCAGCTGTTCAAGTATAAACAAAATTAATTTAACAATAACCTCTAATTTACACATTCTTGTGTTTTGTTTAATTATTATCAAATTTTCTGATAAGTAAACTCTAGGTTAGGTCCTTTAAAAGCATTATCTGCCATAATGGATAGCCAGAACTCCTCGAGTTCTGGCTATCCATTATGGCAGATCACATGCACTGATTTCCTGTCCTTTATGTAGTTGGTTTGTAAGTTTATATTTATGTGCATGGTTTTCTTCTTTAAATGCATACAATTATAAACGATTCATATTAAATATTACTGTAACAGGAGTCAAATATATTTTACATTTTTAAAACGAAGATTAATCAATTAAGTTCCCTCCTACAAGTATATTTTTATAAACAGAGTAAAATGTACAAAAACTGCACATAAAATTAAATTGCATCTTTGTGAAAAGATTGAAAAGTAGAAGAGGGCTGGCAAAATATGATGAACATTGTAGAAAGAGAACTTGTTTACAATACAACCTTAACAATATTTATATTCTTGGTATTGTTTACTGACCTGTGCCGCCAACATAGCAGCGTAGGGTGACGCTTCATCACGGTCAGCCTTCACCTTCATGCCACCAGTGACACGGGCGATAGTTTCCCGGCCGGATAAATCAGTAACATGAACGAATGTGTCATTGAATGAAGCGAAAATGTGTGCTACACCAAACACTGTTTCGCCCACTAAATGCTGGGGCCCAAGGGTCACCTGGACCTCCTCTTTAGCAACTTTGTTTTTTCTCGGGGCCATGGCTCACCCTGAAAATAACAACATTTTCAACACTTGTAACCTCAAAAAATCTAGTTAATCTTCATTATAGCCACCACAAAATATATCGTTAACGTTGCGCCTATTCTCTATATGTTTGAACATATAATTATTTTATTACAAATCTAACTATAATCACATATTTCTTTAAATTATGAAAATACCTTTAGCTTGAGAGCTGTCAAAATCTAAAAGAAATTTGGCTAAAAGATCTACTAAAAACTGACCCTTAGGTGTTGCCAAGGAATGAGAATATAGATTACCAAACAGTGTCACAGGGTTAGATTTATTAAAAAAATGTACCTAACATATTGAAATACAAATAAAATGAAGAGTTCAGAGGTGGAACAGTTTCATTATGCAAATATTGCTTTTTATTTAGAGCGTCTGGTAGCGTCTGGTAGGTACATGTCGTGCATAGACACTTTCAAATAATGTGTATTATCTATATATAGATACTTAAGTCTCATGTCCTGAAATTTTGGTGATGGTATTCACGTAATGATGTCTGGGTTCCAGTGACCTCTTAACATTAGGTGGGCTCTGATCAAGTTCACCCACTTAAGTAATGAAAATATCAATTTAACAGTATTTCTCTTTTCGTTTTCGCATTAACAGTCTTAACCGGATTTATCATTAATAATATTGTCAACTTTTTTGTGAGAGTTTTGTTAATTAAAAAACCACTCAGTGGATGACATAGATAATACACTTAATATTTAATGTGGAGGACAACATGCCTATCTACTGAAAATAATAATTCTGCTGTCTATATTCTCTGTTCTGAATTATACACTTGTTAATAATCGATAGTACAGGGACCAATACTATCACCGAATAAAAAGAAGTGGATTCAGGAATCGTTTCAAATGTCAGTACATTTCTAGGAAAACCATTTTTCTAGCTGGCAGTCCCTGTGACATCCGGAAATAGCGTACGTCATTGCCAACAGATTCACAGTTTCATCGCAATAATCATTAGCTAAAGAAATTATCCATTTTACAACGTAACATATTACAAATAAGCGCGAAAACTCGTGATACTCTTCCTTTAGGATTAATTATTAATATAGTTCAATTTAATTATGTGAGTATTTCATTACGTGTACTTTACGTCCTGAGTGTTTCATGAATGACAATCTGTCATATTACCCAATTCAATAATCCTGCTGCGTTTTATATTTGTCTAGTCGTGTGTGACGGCATGGAGGCTATAAATTAAAAATCTTGTGGTTAATTCTAGCTCTTGATGCTGTTACGCAGTTGAAACCAAAAAATATTTGCAAGTCATTACTATTGTGCCTTAGTCTTTGTAAGAAAGGTGCAAATCCTGAATGTATAGTTGTTACGTTACGTTCCAGATTCAAAAATGTTTATCCTCGACTGGTTCACTGGAGTGTTGGGATTTCTTGGTAAGTTAAACTTTCGTTATCACTTACGTTATATTTCAACTTTATTCATAAACATAAAATATTTTGTTTAATAATTATAAATAAATTTGTAACAATACAACATAAGAGATATAATTTTCTTTAAAGTCTTATTGTTATGTTTGAAAAAGCTTGCCTCTGTTGGGTAAAATCTAAATATTTTTGTCAATAACTTCTGTATACTTTTACAGCATAGTAAATCCAGTAAAATTAAGTACATAATCCAATGATTTTGTAAATTATTTTATATGCCACAGATCAAAGAGTTTTAAGGGGTTATTGAAATTACTACTAAATAACTAGTATATTAAATGGAAGGGATTTTTAAGACAACAGAGGTAAGTTGAGGGTGCAAAGTGCAATCATCTGGCATGACATGAATTGATGATCACTCTTATTTACTCGACAACTACTAATTTTGTAGATATAAACTTTTCTAACTTACTAGTCTTAGCAGTCCAACTGAATGTAATTAAATTACCAAGGTCACAGTCTTGACTATTGTTAAATGTTATAAATACGCCTATTTATTGAACTTTCATAAGCCTTATCTGTTATACTTTGATGGTAATATGACAGAAAACTTACCAAAACAGTCAACAACAAGACTCAGTTTCATCACCATCAGCTGAACGTCTTTGGAATGCATAGAGAACAAACATACTATGATAAATTTGTTAATTAACAAAAGTTGTTATCAGGTCTATGGAAAAAGTCAGGCAAGCTCTTGTTTCTGGGACTTGACAATGCAGGGAAGACAACACTCTTACACATGTTGAAAGATGATAGACTTGCTCAACATGTACCTACTTTACATCCTAGTAAGTATCAACTTTTGTTTCAATTAAAAACGGTACTCATTCCTGCGTTTAAAATTGTCGAGATAAAAATATTTTGAGAAATGGGTTGTTTAAGGTGGAAAAAAAGTCTATGATAATATTTCTTTATATATATGAAATATTGGAAAAGCTTTACAAAAACCCTGTTTTGTTAAATATATCTTAGCCTAGACGAATTGAACAAATCACATCCCACTTGTTATCTTTAAATCATTTTGTGAACTTGTCCTACCACTCAGTGGCTGGTTCCACATACAATGACCTCAACTTAACATTTTCTCTTGTGTTATGTGTATTGGTAACAAACAATTGAGACAAGCACTAGTACACATCCAGATCTCAATAGCAATTTAAAAAAATGATGATTTTGATGCACAATCAGTCTTTAAAAGTAGTCTTGTAAAACAGTTGTTTTAGTGGACTACTTGAGTATGAGGAAATTGTCCAGAGATCATATTTAACTATCAGTGTCACTTCTATACTAATACTAAACCAATGATGCAATTACATTACTGAGAGTAGCCCAAAATATGTATAAATGATTTTTTTGAAGAGTTCTATTAGTTAGTAGGGATTCTATTAGTTAATGACTTCCCTTAGTATGTATCTGCTCATATGCATATGCATGTATTTGTATGTAAAATATAATGTAAAATGAAGAATAACCTTTAATAAAAAAAAATTAAACAATATCCAAATTAATACAAGATTCCTGTAATCTGCATTTGTATTATACAAAAAAAAATTTTTATTGCTTACATGGGTGGACGAGCTCACAGCCCACCTGGTATTAAGTGGTTACTGGAACCCATACCTACGACGTAAATGCGCCACCCACCTTGAGATATAAGTTCTAAGGTCTCGAGTGTACTTACAATGGCTGCCCCACCTTTCAAACCGAAACGCATTACTGCTTCACGGCAGAAATAGGCGGGGTGGTGGTACCCACCCGCGCGGACTCACAAAAGGTCCTACCACCAGTAAAGAAATGGAAATATCAATTTTCAGCATCCGAGGAACTGTCAATAGGCAGTATGCGTTTCACGACGTTCGACCTCGGTGGGCATCAGCAGGCGCGTCGTGTGTGGCGCGACTACTTCCCCGCGGTGGACGCGATAGTGTTCCTGGTCGACGCGTGTGACCGGCCACGTCTGCCGGAGTCCAAGGCTGAACTAGACTCGTTGCTCACTGACGAGACGCTCAGTAACTGCCCTGTGCTGATTCTCGGCAACAAGATTGATAAACCCGGTGCTGCCAGTGAAGACGAACTACGTCACTTTTTCAATCTGTATCAGCAGACCACTGGAAAGGTTAGCATATATAACTTGTCAATTAAAATTAAGTTTGCTATATATTTCTAAATTAATTTGTAGAAGTATTAAGTAGGAAAAGCTAAACCCTGTTTAATTTCGTTAAGTGAATATGTTGCAGCCAGTGGTGGATTTACACTAGAGACAGTCGGGGCAAGTGCCCAGGGTGGCAAAGTTTAGAAAGTTAAAGTTTTTTTTTAGTCCTATCAAGATTGCTGTTATTTCTATTAATTAATACTTTTCTGTTTAATTGATAGTTCAATAAATTCAATTCATCCATTATTTGTGAATTATAAATTTGGCACTTTTGGTCAAAATTAATAATCAAAATTATTTAAACAACTTATTTCCTTGGACATTTAAAAAAAAAATCGAAATTTCCATTTTCTGGAATTAAAGAAATTTAATTAGGTTTTTTTTATGTAATATAATTATGAGCAAGGTGGCAAAGTGCAAAATTTATAATTGTTAGAAAAGAAACAAATATTTATTTATGTTTTTGGAATATATATAACATGATAAAGTTTCTGCAATAAATTAGTTATTTTAATTGTGAAAAATAAAATATATTAACTATATAAGTTTAGGTAAAATTCCAGTATTGGGGCGGTTTTTTTTTCCGGTGCCCAGGAGCGGCATTACGTCTAAATCCGGTCTTGGTTGCAGCTATCATTTTAATTGAAAGAAATAAGTCGATCCTCATTTTTATTTCCAGGGAAAAGTATCGAGGTCCGAACTTCCCGGTCGGCCGCTGGAGCTTTTCATGTGCTCGGTGCTGAAGCGTCAGGGCTACGGCGAGGGCTTCCGCTGGCTCGCGCAGTACATCGACTGAGCGCGTTGCATCCGCGTCATCAAGCTTCGTCAACGTAGCTGCATATTTACTAAGACCGATACTTTATTTTACAATTTTATTCATGAAAAATATATTCCTGGTAAGATATAAAAAAAAAGAGTACTGTGAACTTACCTGTCGTGTTATATGATAAAACAGAGTAGATACATCTTCTGGAGCACTAATTACTGGTTTCAAAGTTATTGTTAGTGATGAATACTAAGTATGGCTCCAGAAGGTGCTTCTCTCTGCCTTTTTTTATTTCAACAAACATTTAAGGAAGACAAACGGGACTTTTGGTTAGAGTCGATTTTTAGAAAACTAAACAGATTATCTCGAATTTTACGAACCGTAGTAGTCTCGATAGAAATATTATAATAGTATAAAACTGAATTAAAAGACATTTGAATGTTTCCAAATGTAATGAAAAATTCTTATCTTAAGTTTACAAGTAACATTTCTAAAGTAATGTATCACATTGAAGAGGAAACACTGTAATAAATGAAGTTGTAATCAGCTTAAAATAATTTAAAAAAATCTATCGAAATGAACATGAGAGGAGACTAAAGTATGTACCTGTTTAAAGATTCATCGACATTGAAATGTTTTAAAAATTGAAATTTTATAAATACAGAAAAATTAGATGATATGTTCTTAATGAATTTAAATATATTTAGTGTTGTAGTAAGGTAAGTAGCTACGTTTACAAGTAACATTTTAAACTTCATTATAGTCTTAACGCGCAACGCTTACAGACAGGCTCCTTCTCTTGATACCAGCGCCTTCACTTAAACTTTATTGTCTTCATAGGGCCGATTCTACTCCGCTTATAAATAGTATGTATTGTTTCATTGTTATTTTCGTCCAAAAATCTTATGTATAATAACGATTCAGTCAGTTTTCATTTAGATGAATAATTTTCATGCGGTCTATGGCTTAAGTCAACATGTGGAACAAATAAAATCATGTATGTATGATTTGTTATAATATTCTTATCTGTAGTCTAATATTTAGACCAGAGTTTTTATCAGCTAATGTCGTATAGATGATATATGGCATATCGATAAATAACCTTCTGTCGGCGTTACGTATTATACTCGCCTTCCAGTAATGTTTGTGTTTGAAGTACTGCTACCACTAAGTTCTGTAATGCGTATAAGATTTTGTGACTAGATTACACTAGACAGGTGCCATGTTTCTCCAACATGTTTATTACTATTTTTTATGTTGTGATTTTCTTATGAAAGCTCAATGTTACAATGTTTTCGCCTTAATATCGTGAAGCGTATCCGAGTGCTGTGAAAACAAGCATTCCTAGAAAGCGAGTTAGTGATATTTATAAAATGTTTTGTGCCCTAGTTTGGACTGTAAGTATTCGTAATTCTATATTGAATCATTAACCTTAAATCTAAAGGATGAAGGTTTATTCTTGTAATTCTTTAGGTTTATGAAACCTTGTTTTTCTTTTTAATTTGGGCAATGGTGCAAAGCATGTCCAGCCAGATATATCCTCATGATGGGATATTAATAATATTTATATTTGCGAATTCGCGTCGCGTTCAATTAAGCAGATTTTAAAAATTCTCCCGGTATGTTTATTTGTCATTATAATTTATATTATGTACGTATCGTCTTTGGATTCAACTGTATAAAATAATAAATAATAATTAAAATGACATTATATTTATTTTCTTGATTTCATTCCAACATTGAGTGATGGGCGTTCTGCAAAACTTCAAATCGTAATTAATGTTTTTGTAAATTATTTTCTTGTATTTTTTTGGGCTTTGTATTAGAACGGTTAGTCTGAATACTTAACGGCTATTAATTATGTAATTGTAAGGATCATCTCAGTGTGATATAATAGGGTATGTGACTATTTAAATTATTCTTCGTTTAGAGGCCTCAAACTCTTGTGACGTCACACGTTGGTGAGCAGACTGTGACCTCGTCTGACCTTGTTTCTGTCCAAAAGCATTTTTATATTTACTGTTATGTTACGTCACAAACGTCACGTGGCTATAAACAATTATTTGGGTGGTTTAATAATAGATACTTAAGTACAGATTTTTGTTGTACTAAATTTAAGGAGCTACAGACTTACTGATTTAAATGTTGCATTCCCTTCTCTTCTCAAATTTATTTTCACTCATACAAGGCGGGGATGCCGTATGACCATACATATAAATACTATAATACAATTATTGGCTTTACTAAAAATAAGATTTATTAAAGTAAAAAAAGGGAAGCAATGTTGAAAGCTATTACATGTATTTTGTAGCGAATTCTTAGAAACTGCTCAGGCGAAGAACATCAAATAGAAAATATATTCCCATATTTTGGTTATATTAATTTAAATGAATAATTTTGCGTGTGCGGCCTCAAAACTTTGCAATACATTACTTTGTACTATCTAAGGTGATACCGTGTGCCCCACCCGCAGTGTACATAAAATAGTCAAGTACCCTATATAGTTAATTTTTTTGTTTTTTGAACATCACATGTGTCTGTCGAGTGGGCAGTATTGGTGGGTTGGTAGACAAGCCGTTCTTGGATCATTCGCGTTCAGCTGTGCCCTGCGTCATCTATACATTTGTTTCGATAATCTGCAGTTTGTCTTAAAAACAAAGTTTGTAATAAAATTTGTACGAAATATTTGTTTTGTTTCAATGTTGTTTTTAGTTTTTATACAAATACATTGCGATACATACAATATGTATTACTTTGATTTTTTTAATTGAAACTACGATCCTTTTGTACGTATTTTCAAATTTGAAATATATTATTTGAAAACAATGACAGGATATTATTTTAAACAAAACGAAAAAATTTAATAGATAAGATTTCGTATTTCAAACATATTAAATGGGTTACCCTATTGTCAATCTTGACTGAAGTCTATCATCAGATTTTCTAATATAAAATAGAAAATTGACCTAAAAAAAACCATTGTTAAAAGACGTTAGGGCATACATTCTAATCGCCCAGAAATGTAATGGCACATTTGAATTATTCGCTAGTCGGTTACTGCAAGCTCTAAAAAGTATAAACATATACAGAAACTTGTGTGATAGCGGTATAGAAATTATTTATTAATAGGTTCACCGCAGCACTAAAGACCTAAACCTAAAGGATAAAACGGCCGGTGCATTCGTATCTAGCGATGCAACGGTGTTCGAATCTGTGTAGATCCCAATTTTTCTAATGAAATACATACTTAACAAATGTTCACGATTGACTTCCACGGTGAAGGAATAACATCGTGTAGTAAAAATCAAACCAGCAAAATTATAATTTGTGTAATAACTGGTGGTGGGACGTCTTGTGAGTCCGCACGGGTAGGTACCACCACCATGACTATTTCTGCCGTGAAGCAGTAATGCGTTTCGATTTGAAGGGGGCAGCCGTTGTAACTATACTGAGACCTTAGAACTCATATGTCAAGATAGGCTGTATTTACATTGTAGATGTCTATGGGCATCGGTAACCACTTAACATCAGGTGCGCCGTGAGCTAGTCCACCCGCTTAAGCAATAAAAAAAGCATGAATTGCTTGCCTTTGAAACAGACAAGATGGCGGTCCAACACGTGCGGGCTTGCAGTTCGCTCTATTACCATAGACATTGATTTTTTTAAGGTTTTCGCTTTTCGTAAGCAAAGGAACATCGATACACAAAACGATCAGTAACTCACCCATATTTATTTAAAATAAAACACGTAATTTTGAGTTTTTCATAATATATTTATTAATATTTTAGTTGAATAAATAACTACAGTGTGATTTCTAAAGTAAACGCTCACAATGTATACAACTTTGAAAATTTTGAGGTAAATCCGTACGATAATATTCGTATATTTAAAAACGTATAAAACACGAGTTAGTAGCCGAACAGTTATTGCACAATTACGGAGACCACGACTTAACGACTATTTTGTGAATTAATTCGAAATATTTTATAAGTAGATAATTATTTTATGAACAAAATTGTTTTTTTTTATCACATTTTTTTTAGTATCATCTGTACCCATCATTAAATAAAATTACTCTAAGTAACAACTACACAAGTTTACATATGCGATGGGATAAGACGTAAAATTTTCGAGACGAGAGCGCTTTTGAAGTCAGCTGCTTTGTGAATGAGATCAATATTACACGACAATATTAGCACGAAATGTGAGGACCGCTCTAGGAGCGCGACATCAACTGTACAATTCATTAAAAATCTGTATAAAATCATATTATTAAGTATTCGATTATGTTTTTTTTTGTTTTATAACATTACTGACAAGGAACATAAAATATTTATAAAATACAAACAGCAATTTTATTTCACAAATCATTCGATTACAAGGTTCTGTGACGTCACAGGCCGCCGCCAACACAAGCCGAGCTAACGCTTGCAATTCTTATTACATATCACTATCCTCAAATATTTTCCCGTTATTATCATTATTTACTAAGTCCGCTCGCGCCGATCGAGAAGATACTTCTACGGTGCGCTGTTTAATTCATTACAATATAATATTAATTCTAGCGAAATAAGTATTCACGTCACAGTTAGGTTATGTAGTTAGATTGTTATTTTTTTATTTAATTTAAAAGCTAGCAAAGTTGATCTATAGGTCAGAGCTGAGATTGTCGCTACAAGGTCGGCTTGAGTCGGATCTTCTTGAGATGCGAAGGCGGCGGAGGGAAAGGTCTGCGCTTGGAGGGCGCGGCCGCCAGCGAACCCGCCGCGTCCTCCCATTGGGCCGTCCCTCCCGCCGACGACGACGACGACGAGGAGCCGGCCTTGCTCCGGCTGGCTTGCTTCGGTCGGATGGAGCGCGCGAAGCTCCGCTTGCTGGTCAGCATGGAGGGGCGGCTCCCGTCCGACTCGTCCGTCGGCCGCCGCGCCACTTTGTTCTTGACGACGCCGCCGACTTGCGTCTTGCTCGAGTTCGGTTTCCGTATCGCGAGAATGTTCCTGCGCTTCGTGGACAGGGTCTTCGGTTTGGGCTCGTTCTCGGCGAGGTAGCGCGTGCGCGACGTCGACTTGACCGGCTCGTTCTTCTTGACGAACTTGACGTTGACGTTGATGATGTCGTGTCCGGAGCGCTGCGCGAGTACGGGCGGGCTGCGTCTGCGCTCCGAGTCTGTCCTGGCGGCGACGTACGCGTTCTCCTTGCGTTCGTCGGTGCCTTTAGTCTTAGCGCGCGCGTAGAGAGGCGCCCGCGGCGGCGACGACGCTTTGGGCCGGAGACGAGACATCGTCAACTGAAAACAGACCGGCTCGTTGACTAGAGACGGTGCCGGAGCGGCGCCCCGGACAAACGAAAACCTTGATCCCGCTCGTGAGATTTAGTACGCGCTAATGTATGTGGTGTTATTGTTTCGAAATGGGACAACACGATAGTTCTGATAATAACTTTTCTTACCCGGACCAATAAAAAACGACTGGTGATTGTTTTTATTAGTAGTTAACACTGAAAATTAAACAACACATACTGTTAAAAGAGTAATTGGCACTTAAAATTTAAAGTAAGTGCATAGTGTTGGATTTGCGTTCTCAGAGAAGGAAATGTGTGGCTGGTGTTTAGGAAGCGTAAGTGTGTAAGTGATGTAGATCGAGGCCCAGAGTAGCGGGTACGATTATATTATATCGATATCATATTATATCATTATCTAATAAATCTATATATTCAAACGTATATAACTAAAGTATGTATATCAGTGTTTGATTTCCATTTTACAGGGAAATCTATTTTAATTTTTCCAACATTATTAACTATTAGGTAGTTGCTTTTTTGCTAGTTCAATTATAGCACTATATAATAATATGTACCACAACACATTGTACTTTTTGTGTTGAATATTTTGTCTTTGTTTTGATATTTATATCCGTGTACAATAAAACATACTCTAGTCGACTCTAAGCGTCTCACATTCCAACAATCCAAAGATACATATTTTTTTTTATGTGTCAGAAATACACGTGAGACCAGACTTTTTTATTTTTATTGCTTAGATGGGTGGGCGAGTTCTCAGCCTACCTGGTGTTAAGTGGTTACTGGTGCCCCTAGACATCTACAACGTAAATGCGCCACCCATCTTGAGATATAAGTTCCAAAATCTCAGTATAGTTACAACGGCTGACCCACCTTTCAAACCGAAACGCATTACTGCTTCCCGGCCGAAATAGGCGGGGTGGTGGTACCTACCCGCGCGGAGACTCACAAGAGGTCCTACCACCAGTAATAGACTAGTTCAATGGTAAGATTCATTGACGATTACTCATTTTTGTCAGCCCATGAACACGCGATTCGTATTTCTAATAATCTGATATTATTTTGTAGCATATTATGGCATATTTTTTGTTAATTGTTATATTTTTAAGCTCACATATTGTCACTTTTATGCAATCCGTGAATTTCAGTTTGATTCTTGTCTATTAATTTCCTATTTTGTGTATAGTAAAGCTGTTGTGTTCTTTGTACGAGGAGCACTGCTGCTTGAGATACAGGTTTTATCACCTAGTTCAAGCACAGATGCACATTATGATTGTGTTTCTACTTCTATGTTAACAATAAATAAATAAAATAAAAAATATCCAGTGTGATATACGACTAACAACGATTAGTTGGAATCTTGAAGACAGTTTTATTAAGCAGGTTGTGTTTTTACCTGGGGCTTAGCAGTTCGAGTGTGGGCTCGGAGCCAGTCCCTCAGCGCGGGCAGGGATCGGTGCTCCGAGCACGGGATGCGGGAGTTCGGATGCTGCCCGGTCAGGTCCAGAATCGACGCACCCAATGACTTCCCCACCTGGATATCCGTGCAACAACCGATACAACAACAGCACGGTTTAAACGGCCGTCTCGTGTAGTGGTAAGCGACATGGTCACTACACAAGGGGGTCGCGGGTTCGAATCCCGCCAAGCGAAGATATTTGTGTGATAAATATAAAATGTCTTTTCCAGGGTTATGGATGTATATTATATATATTATGTATGTGTATAATAAAAATCTTACATTCATTTCCGTTACCTGGTACCTGTAACGCAAGTTCTTTACGAACTTCGCACGGGACCAGTTAGCGTGGCGTGATCGTTAAAAAAAAAAACAACAACAACGACACGAATTTTCATTTTTACTACCTCATCATAAAGCTTATTTTAAGAAATACGAGCAGTTTTTTTTTCGTGCTAGACAGAGATAGCACTATAGAGAAATGTGACGTCAAACTTTATAAGCTACACGAGTTTTAAAAAAAAATCATTTAAGCTGAAAATGAGGACGTTCCTATTCATATTATATTTAACAATAATTAACAGTTTAACAAAGTGAGCTTTCAAAGTTTGATGTGAATACTCAGTGAAGTGTGAAACGTGACATGTTTTCTAGAAGTGCTTTTGAGGTGTGTTTAGAGCACCCAAACATAAGTATGTTGTAATTAGCAACAATCTTGCAAAATTTTTAGGTAAGTAAGTTAATGTTTTTTTTTACTTTTGTAGTTAATGGTATGGCGTGTTTGTAGTGCAATTTTTTGTGAAAAAAAACCTGTGTTTATTTTATACCATTTGACCAAAATGTATGTACACACAGATGCCTCATGTTCCAAAAGGAATTAATTACTAAAACAGACACTAAATACAATTGAGAAATTAAATTGGTCGTC